CAATAGTCAAAAAAGACATTGAGATAGATTCTGAAAGATTGTAGTCTGAGACCTAAAAACATAAGAGATTCTGATGAAATTCTGATATATTACTCAAAGGATACATAAAGCTTGAGACATGCAGGTACAAGGTTATATGCCTGCAGATGACTCACTAAGACAAACGTGTGCAGCCAAGTGAGGATTGGGGATTCTGAAAAACTASCACCTGAATCTGTTTTTTGTATGAATGGCAGAATCAAGTATTTGCTTGATTGAGCAAGCAAGACATCCCATTAACTTCAGCTGCAACGATTTATTTTAAAACATTATCCTACAGAGCCATTAATTAGATTCACTCAATATGAAACTGAAATTCCTATGTTCATATTCTTTCCCCATTAATCATCCTTCCTATAGCTTGTGGAGGTTTTTTTGGGGGAAGGTGTTTTTTTTCAGATGTTCACCATGGTGGAAAAGTGGAGGAAAATAATCAGAACTAGAACTGTTTATCTTTCACAACTGTATAATTTAGCTCAAGCTGAACCATAAAGCACTAAGCTGAATATTTGGAAATAAGAAATTGAATATTAAAGTAAGAGAAGATATGCTCCATACAGAATTTGTGCCCAAAATACTTTTCAAAGTAGATTTGRACTGACATTAAACACAACACATTTGAACTTGTAACATTTTTTATTATTTACTATTTTATTTTAGGTTACCTGGAGCAAGGTCTTCTGGTGAAAGAAAAACAAAAGCTACAAGAGAAATACAAGAAATCTTTTCAATTCAAATTGGATTTTTTGTCAATCATACCAACCGATCTGTTATACTTTAAGTTAGGATTGAATTACCCAGAATTAAGAATAAACAGACTATTCAGAGTAGCTCGAATGTTTGAATTTTTCCAGAGAACAGAAACAAGGACAAACTACCCAAATATCTTCAGGATTTCTAACCTTGTCATGTACATTGTGATTATTATCCACTGGAACGCCTGTGTGTACTACTCGATCTCAAAAGCCATTGGATTTGGGGCTGACACATGGGTCTACCCCAACACCTCTGACCCTGAATTTGCCCGTCTGACTAGAAAATATGTCTACAGTCTCTACTGGTCAACACTGACCCTGACTACTATTGGTGAAACCCCTCCTCCTGTAAGAGATTCTGAGTATTTCTTTGTGGTTGTTGACTTCTTGGTTGGAGTACTGATTTTTGCTACCATTGTTGGTAACGTGGGCTCTATGATCTCCAACATGAATGCTGCCAGGGCAGAGTTTCAAGCAAGGATTGATGCTATCAAGCAATATATGCACTTTCGGAATGTGAGTAAAGACATGGAAAAAAGAGTTATAAAGTGGTTTGACTACCTGTGGACAAACAAAAAGGCTGTGGATGAAAGGGAAGTCTTAAAGTATCTGCCAGATAAACTAAGAGCAGAGATTGCAATCAACGTTCACCTGGAAACGCTAAAAAAAGTTCGGATTTTTGCGGACTGTGAAGCTGGTCTGCTGGTTGAACTGGTTTTGAAACTCCAGCCCCAAGTATACAGTCCTGGAGATTATATTTGCAGAAAAGGAGATATTGGACGAGAGATGTACATTATCAAAGAAGGCAAGCTGGCAGTAGTTGCTGATGATGGAATTACCCAGTTTGTGGTCCTAAGTGATGGCAGCTACTTTGGAGAAATCAGTATTCTTAATATCAAGGGTAGCAAAGCTGGCAATCGAAGAACAGCCAATATTAAAAGTATTGGATACTCGGACTTGTTTTGTCTGTCTAAAGATGATCTCATGGAGGCTTTAACAGAGTATCCAGATGCAAAAGCTATGCTGGAAGAAAAGGGCAAGCAAATCCTAATGAAAGATGGGTTATTGGACATCGAAATTGCAAATTTAGGAAGTGATCCTAAAGACCTGGAAGAGAAGGTTGCCTACATGGAACGTGCTATGGACAGGTTACAAACAAAGTTTGCCAGGTTATTGGTTGAGTATGAAAGTGCACAACAGAAGGTGAAAAAAAGACTTACACAAATAGAGACAATATTGAAGCCAGTTATAGAGGAAGAGTTTGCAGACTTTGAAGAACTWGATCCATCCACAGATAAACCTGGATTGTCAAAAGCAGAATAAAAACAACGGAAGTTTCCAATAAGACTGAGGGCCAAATCCTGACTGGAGCTGAATACATTGATTTCTAATCGTTGTAGCACCTATTAATTACAAAAAATTATTTGTTGAGACAATGTCACTAATCTCCTACAAGCAGCGCACATTTGGCAGATTTGGTGCAGAAAAAAGAGTCAAGAATTGCAATGGAAGATAACCCTTTGTTCTTGAACAAACAGGTGGTATTATCTGCTAATGCATTACGTACTCTATATAATGCTGCTCTATGGCAGATGCACATATAGTGTCATATACTAGCAAATATTGGAAGTTTTGCTGGCTGTTTTAAAATAATTTCTTTGTTTCCACTTATGGAAACAATGAAAGGTTTGGTAACAATTACGTTATTTGAAGTCATTAACCTTTATAGTAAATTTGTGTATAAATGAGCACATTTTAATATCTATTGATTAACATGAAATTAATTATGGGGCATTGTATAAAGAATTGGGTGTATCTACAATGCAGATGAGAGTACTGAAGGCAGTAAGATTTGAAAAATACTATTATTTCACTGGGTCCACCTTGCCTGRTTTCTTGAAATGTAAGTCAGCAATTTGAAATGGTCCTTTTTTTCAGGATAATACACACAAAGGCTGGAATAGAGAGAGGAGAAAATACAACTTTTTRTGAGCATCAGTGTGAAAGATATGGATGGCTCACAGTCTAGCTGTGCTTTCCACAATAATAATAAATAATATACAAATAATGTATAAATATACAAATAAAAATATTTATTAAAGATTGTTCTGTTTCATGTAATCATATGGCTGCTGAACATGGACTATTAAGATTTTAAGATTTGTGATTAAAAATGTTAATGTTCTTAATATAACACTTGTGGATGTTGGCRGAGTGTAACGGGAAGACACGACAGCAACAGGCCAAATTCTTCATACAGCATCTTCTGCAGTGGGGAAAGAATATGACTAAAGAGGCGATTTCCTCCTGTKGATAAGAGTATTTCTTTCTTCATAACTACTTCTAAGATAGTAAAATCTATATATTCATATGTTAGATTCATTTTCAATTCTTTTATGATGTATTATCTCCTTGGATTTTCCCCCTAATTTATGTCTGTTTTCATTGGCAAAAAATGGTTGGCTTAGTTACAGTCTCAGCTGGGTATTTGCAGCTGGGAATTTTCAGTAGAATTTGATCACAGGCACATAACATTGGATAAGTTTGATGAAAGKGAGGGAGGAAAGGAGCTGCAATGAGAGAATGGATAATTTTGTATTTAGGGAAATTTGATTATCCTGATAAATTGGACTGTTAAAAAACAAATATGAACGTATYACTGTCAATAATATCTCTACTGTCAATATTCTCTCCTTAATGAGATGGAGATATAAATTGTGTATTTTATAAAGTGTATTTATYTCTGGCTGTTTTATTTTTTGTAATGCTGATGCTTTCCAGGATGCCAGAGATTTATAAATAACTTCTGATTTACTGCAAGGATTAAAATGTATGAGCTACTTAATGCACAGGATTTATGGATTTATACAGAACAACAAGGATAAATATAAATTCAAAATGGCTGTTCATGCCCTCTTGATCCTGTGCTTTGAATGACAAATGGCTTAATTAGCTGATAAGGGGAAAGGGAAACATCCTGTCACTGAACAGTCTATCCCTGCACATAAGAACAAGGATTATTCTGGCATTTAGCTATATCATGAGTGYTGGACTTTGCAATCAACATTCTTCCAACTCATGTCTTGAATATAGTTTGCGATCTGTATGCCAGCAGCACTCTATCCTACTTGACCATTAGGCACTTAGAAAGCACTTTTCTCCTTTGTTGAAGTGCTTAAGACTTTTTATTAGAGAAATATGTGACATGAGTTTTAATTAAAAAAGGGTAGATATCTGTTGTTAACTATTTTTCTTGTACTGATCTTTCAGTCTAAGACATGGGTTSTATTCACCTAGCTGCCTCTTTCTTGAGAACAAAAATTCTTTGATTTAAAATCACACCAAAATAAAACAAACAGAATTGATCTCCTATTTGCTTACTATTTTCAGACCATTTATGGTTGGAAATCTTGTACAACTTAACTTTTATGAGCAGGGTTTGCTGAAAAAAATGCAAAGTTTCCTCCTGGCACAAGATATAATGTAAGTGCTATAAGGAAATGTCAGTAAAATTAAAACTATTTCAACTCGCCCTTATTTGTCAGAACTTATCAGGAGGCACACATGTTCCTCAATATATATTTCTGTACACTACAACTTTCTGAATATACTTCAGTGAAGCTTCAAAATAGGCTTCATGGTCGGGCTTTAACTCTCATATTCCAAGAGCTATGAAGTTATAGGAGTTATAGGAGCTATGAAGAAAAGGTCTGCAAGAGCCGGATTCTGTAGGAGCGGTTGCCAGAAATTTACTCTGGAGAAAAGAAGGCTCGAGAGTCCCTTATAGCGCCCTGTAACTCCATGAAAGGAGGCCGTGGTGAGGTGGGGCCGGGGTCAGGTTCTCCTAAGTAACAAGAGACTGGACGAGAGGAAATGGCCTCAAGCGGCGCCAGGAGAGGTTTGATTTGGGTATTAGGAAAAATTTCAACCCAAACGGTTGTCAAGCACAGATCAGGCTGCCCAAGAAAGTGGTGGAGTTACCATCCCTTCCGGTGTTTAAACGCCGTATAGATGTGGCACCTGGGGACGTGGTTCACTGGAGGACGTGGCAGCGCTGGGTTAATGGTTGGACTGGGTGATCTCACACCTTTTCCGACCCGGAGAACTCSGTGACCCAGACACAGAGCCGTGACCCCGGCCCCGAGCCCGGCCGGCTGAGGCGGTGCGAGGCGCGGACCCGCCCGCCGCGCGGGGAGCGCCGGGAGCTGTAGTCGCGCTGTCGCGGGMGCGCCGGTGGCGCTGCCGCCTCTATCGCCGGGTGGAGCGGCAGGGCCGGGCTGGGCCGAGCGGAGAGGAGCGCACCTTGTGGGGCGGCTGTGCCGGCGAGGGTGTAGGCGGAGGGTCCGGTCCCTCTTCTCTCCCCGCTTTCTGGCGGGGGAGAAATGGAGGCTCCGTGGCGCCAGGGCGGCCGGGGCCGCGGCCGCGCCAGGCCCGGGGACGAGCTCGCTGCTCGCACTGGAGTGGCCGCCCGGCCCCCGGCCCCGAGGAGCCGCGGCGGTTCCCGCGCTGCGGCAGCGGGGACCATCGGCGAGGGGGCTAGCGGTGAGTGTCGCGTCCTGTCCTYTACCCGGAATGCCGGGCCCCGGGCCGGGGAGCCGGCGCTGGCCCGGAGCCCTTGCAGGTGGCCGGGTCGGGGCTGTCCCCGGCGTCGCGGGGAAGGGAGGCTGGCGGGCCCCGGCCCCGCTCCCGCGCTGCTCGGCGGTGGCGAGCTGGTGTTCGAGCCCTGCCTGCGGGTTCCTGCCCGGGAGAGACGCGGAGGCCTCAGGCAGTGACSAGAGCGAGGGGCTGAGCCCTCGCCAGGGTGCACAGGGTGCACGGTCTTCTTGGAGCAGAAGAGTAAAGTGTGAATGATGAAATACCTGTTTTTTAGCATGGTTGGAAACACCTAGGGGAGTTGCATGATAGTCTTCCTTAGGCACGCTGGTCAGGGAAATGCAGTCTAGGAAAGGTGCGGACTTTCGGTGCGCAGGCCAGCTGTAAGTTCATCCATATGAAATATACCACAGAAGTGCCAAAGATGAAGTTCTTTTGACTGGCAGCACAGTTTCTTAAGAGTCTTAAAAACCGAATATATTGGGTCCAGTAGTGTAWTACGGAAAGCTAGTGGTCTCCTGAAGACCTTTGTGTCTCCATCGTATTTTGTCTTAAAAGCACTTTGGTTTATTGTGAAGTCTGTTAATATGTTCGTACGCRTGACAATCTTTTTCTGTTTCACATGTAGTAACTTTAAAAAAGGTTATATTMAAATACCTGTTCACCTTTAATGTTGCCTGCTATGAAATAGCAGTGAACACACTATTACAATAAAGATCTGTTGAATTTGAGGGAGATGGGTGAACGTCCTAATTTAAGAAATACCAAATGCTGTGAGAATTACCTGTGTGGTATCTGTAAATRATAGCAACTGTCAAGAATTGCATGTTTTGTTTTTTCCTTCCTCATGCAATGACAGTTGTGTTTGTGAGGGATGTGTGTGGGTTTTTTAAAGTATCCTTTACATAATACATGTATTCTGGCATATTTGGTTGGATTTGTCACCAGTAATTGACAAATAATAATTCCTGCTGTGAATTTTATGATAATACACGGTAAAGAAGTAAATACAATTTAACTCTTCTTGTGTGGTATTAAAATCAGCAAATTTTAAAGCAGAGGACACACAATTGTGAGTATGTAGAACTGCATACAGTGTTACGATTAACTATCGTGGTAGTAATCATCATTAGTATTTTCTCTTAATAGAGTTATCTTCACTGAAGAAATTTGATGAAATTAAGAAGGCTAATCAGGCAGCAGCAAAAAAGCTAGTTGAAGATCAATTAAGCTCCTCATCTGAAGATGATGATGAAGATGCTGAAGTAAAACAAGGAAAGATTTTGGACAAAACATTTACCATTTACACGAGTCAAACTGGTAATGTTTTTTTCATTTATTGACTTTTATTTTGGTATGAAAGCATAAGCARTGCAGTATCACTGTGTGTTAGATTTTTTTTGTAATTGGAAGRAAGGCACTCTATCCTGATTTCTTCCATTAAAAATATTTTTGTCCAGCAGTGCATGCTGGCAGTACTTCTTGTGTTTCTGTGCAGAAGCRATTGTATAGTTTTAAACTGTCTTAAATGTGGTTTTATAATAATACATGACTGGCCTTTATTCAAAGGCCAAAAAATACTTTTGCAGCAGTCTCAACATGTAAAAAAATAGCAGATCAAGCATTACTGATTGCTTTAAAAATCTTTATATGTTAAAGATGGAGATGCAAGTGAACTGGAACGTACGAGGCAGTACATGAATGACGCTTTTCAGTCAGGGGCTATGACATGTCTCATCTGCATTGCTTCAGTTAAAAGAAACCAAGCTGTAAGTACTTTACAGTAATCTTTTAGAATGAAACAAGTGTAACTGTCTGAATAATTTATATTACTAAGRTTATTCTTGGGATTGGTAGCTTTAAAATTGTAAGAGTACTAAATGCAATATTTGACATCTTTGGATTTTGAAACACTTGAAAACATAAGTGTAGCCTGTAATCAGAATATGTCTTTTTTATCATATGTTTGTTATCATAGTATAAAATATTGATTTTTAAGTTTTAGGTAGTAGCTGGTGACAAAAACAAGTGCATGAATACCAGTGCTTGCAATTTGCTATGGAGTAGCAAATTAAAACATTAAACACTAGGAAGTGAAGAGATATTATTTTTAGATTTATGGCAGGGAAGTGGATATAAATTTGCTGCCCTTCAATGTTGATCAGAAAAAGAAGTGTGTATGTCAGAGTAATTTGTCCTATTTCATATAGGTATATTTTGTATGGGAGAGATTTCAGGACAAATAATTTTTCCTCTATCTGTCAGAGTTACTTGAATCAAAAACATGTTTGCAACTGTATGTTTAAAAATAAAAGAAGTGCAGAAAATATTTTCATTTCTTATGATAGATATACACAGACTACAAGTATCCAATGAAACTGCAGTCATAACTACTTTCTAAAAAGTAATACAGTATATTTTGTATGAATTCTTAACATTAAGTCCGTATTTTTTCAGACCTGAATGAATATGTTTAGCTTGATTTTTGAAGTTCTGTGGCTCTTGATAGAGTTAATCTTATCTCAGCAGAAGTGACAYGATTTGGTAACTTGGAAGTCTTTTTTTTCTAACTCAGTGGTTYGCCAATTATCTTGAATCTGTATAATCTCCGCCAAGTCTGTTTGTTTACTTAATGTCTCCTGCCAAATTTAGTTTTGAGAAGTTAGTTATCATAGTTCTAAAAACTTAAATCATTGACTTTGTCCCTCTGTAAGTTAATGGAGAAAGTCCTGGTGTTTTGACAGTCTAATTTCATAATGTTGTCCTAAGTGATTTAAAAAAAAATAGAAGTTTAAATTTTATTCTGCACTTTTCTTACCAAATTGTTATAGTTTTGGGTAAAGCCAAAGTCATCTTTATGGCACCAGGTGGTAAGGGACAGTAGCACAAAGTGGGCATTGGGAGGTRTGGCTTGGGTACTAGGAGGGTAGTATGACACTAGGAGCTGCTTTCTCAGGATGGTTGTGGAGACCCCATCCCTCTGGACTTTCAGCTTTGCTTGGCAAAGGTGTGACTGAACCGAGCTAAGSTGGCAATAGTCCATCTTTGGGCATCAGTTTGTGCTACATGACCTCCAACAGTGTGTTTAAATCAACATTTTTCTGTTTGTCTGTATTTTGGCTCCACCAGCCTTGGCAAAAACTTCCCACGGGAGTCRTAAAAGAGATTATAGGTATGAATCCATAGCAGTAAAAACTGCCTGTATTGRTCTAACAATAGGTATAATCTATCTTTCAAAAACCTATTTTACAAACTTATATTTCTTTAGATATTATGGATGTTCATCAATGGAAACAGAAACCTAATTTAAAGCAATTGATGTCTGCTCTTTAGGTCTGGAGCTGCTGTGGGTGCTTTTGTATATTTCATCTGGTGTGTATCCAAAAGTGGGCCAAGGACAGCCTGTTCCTTGTATCTTCTCCTTTGACAGATGATGATTTTGGGAAGAAAGATTATCCGTGGCCATGGTGAGCTCCTCATGGTACATTTACAAAGTTATTTCTGTAGTGAAAATTGTGTGAACTACTGTTACTTTAGAAGAAATKATATTTGTAAATGATATTCACAACGAAAAAAAAAGGAGTTAAGACTGACTTTTCTATTGTTTCTTAAAATTATTTATGTTTTCATTAACATGATYCAGGAATTCACAGTGATATTAAACTTTGCTACATCAAATTTGTTTTAATCTTYGAGAAGGTAACTTATCTGTCATGTGTCTCAGCTTCTGATATTTRTTTCTGAGTGGCTTTATATATTTTTTGCTTTTAAAGTTGGCTCCATGAAATAAGTTTAAAAAATATTGTAAAATAGCCAGGTGTAGGGATTGTGTYTTTTTTAGTCTCTGTATAATTCAAACATTAAATCAGGCTTTGCAGTTTTCCTTGAGATTGTATAAAGAAGAAGGTAATAATGTGGCTGCATGAATAAATTTCCTAAGCAGGTTTGCTTAAGGAAATAAAGTGTCGGTTGTTGGCTTTTAGCACCTGAAGTTGATAATGCACTGTAAACTCATTTTGTGTTTAAACATAATGTTCGTAATGAAAAAAAATTCSAGGAAAATGGTATTTTGTTTTACATTTAAGCACATGCTACAGATATGCAAATCCTATTGAGAAATGGTTTGTGGTCTGTAATGTGTTATACAAGGGCAAATTGATGTTTTATTTGATGAAGATGAGTGCATAGGTCTTTCAAAGTCCCTGTTCTTCTCTGAGGGGGACCTTCTCATCTTTTGTCTTTTCCCAGTGTAGCCAGAAATGTGAAATGCTTTGTTTTTCCTTCTTTGTRTTGCCTCCCTTGTCCGTGGCTTGCATGGGACCTGTTGGGCCTGTGGCACTTAAAATTTTCAGACCTCTAGTGTCTATCTACCTTTAGCAAGAATGTATTTTTTAATTTTTGTCAACATCAAGGCTAAAGAAAAGAAGGCATACATCTTGAATCTAAAAATTTTCAGATAAAATTCCAGKTATTATTCATAGTTTTAATAGTATYGCTAAACTTTGTTTTACATGGCTGATAGACTGCTACAAGTAAACCCTGGGTTTTGAATCCCTTTTTTAAAAATTGGTTCTATTTAAATAGGTTAACTGTTGCATAGATTCTTTTGATATTGCTTGACATAAAAATTGTTCTGGTTTTTGCTGTGCTGAATTTTTGTCTATATATATTCTTAGAGAAAAAAACCCTGTATTGACAGAACAATTCCTTAGACAGTCTAATGAATGTATTGTTAAATCTGACAKATAGAAAAACCTTTATACTGTGTTACTGTATATTGTTGCTATCTGTTACAGTAGTTGTAAAAATGTTAATTGGTAGCATTGAAACAGTCTTGGGAAGCCGGAAGGATAAAAATGGCTTTTTCTTTTAAAAGAATTCTTTTTAAAATTGCTTTTCTTTTCCCTTTTGGCTTTTGCCTTTTCTTTTGTTGTAGTCCAAAATGTAGGTTTGAATACAAACGYGCTGAAACTCCCAGTAGGTATTACTGTTACTGTGGAAAAGTGGAGAATCCAGCAGTAGACCCATGGCTGGTACCTCACTCCTGTGGTCAGATATGTGAGAGGGAATTCAAACCTTCCTGTGGTCATAAATGTTTGCTGCTTTGTCATCCAGGTAAATCCTCTGTGTTTCTTGGTTATGTGACCTGTATTTGGGTACTTGTTACACAGTTAAACTTAAAATCTGTTAAGTGTATTTAAAATTGTYGGAGTAAAAGAGATGTAGTCAAGGTTGCATTTGCTGAATGGTCATTAGCAAGATGTTCTTTTTCCTGTAATTAGGACCCTGTCCACCTTGCCCAAAGATGGTAACAACAACCTGTTACTGTAAGAAAGCCAAACCAGTGCCCCGAAGGTGCAGTGCCAAGGASTGGTCTTGTCGCCTGCCGTGTGGGCGAATGTTGCTGTGTGGACAACATGCTTGTGAGAATCCCTGTCATGCAGGTAGACCGGCCTTCTTAAGCTTAAGAGCAGTAGCTCTTTTAATTGTTAAGATGCATCATTCTTTTGCAATTCCTACKCTTAGTGTCTCTTTGCAATTACATTCAGGGGATTGTCAGCCCTGTCCACGTGTCAGTAAACAACGGTGTATCTGTGGAAGACAGACAGCAGAGAGACTTTGTGCAAGCCCTCAGTGGCAATGTGATCAGGTATGTTGAAGCTGTCTTTTTTAACTGGTTTCTCATCTTTATAAAATTTGATATTTRGTGTATTAAGGGTTGGAAAAGTGTATTCAGTAAAAGTTATTTTTCTACTTTTGAAAGTGCAATCAAAAATATAAACAGCMTTGTTTGAGACAAGATTTAGTTGGCTGAGTTAATTTTTTATAGTAAGTAAAATTCTGGAATTCTTGTAGGTTTAAGCTAGCAGTGAATTTAACTTTGTATACTCTTTCTTGTACTTGAGGTTGAAGTTTCAGCTGTTGCCTTCAAAAATAAAAAGGAAACCACAGCTTAGCAGACAAAAGTTTCATGCTTGTTTTTAGGACTGTAACAGAAAGAAAGCTTTATGATTAATTGTTTGCAGTATATTTGAAACTTGTGCCTAAAACCAAGGCTATGGATTGACAGATGGTAAAAAATAAAAATAATTAAAAAATTTAAGTTAGGGAGGAGTTTGCTCTTGGTGATTCTGATCCCAGTAAGAAAAGTACTTGRTCTTTATGAAGTATCAATTAAGATGCAGTTTATTTCAGCTAACACTGTAGAGAAAATTAATATCTAAAAAAATAGCATGTCCCTTTAGATCTTTGGAACCCYCAGCTGTGCAACATTGAACATGACAATTGATACATGTGCAGCATGTTGTGCAGGCGCCATCTTGGTTGTTGAAGATATTGTAGGATCTTCTTATAAAAAAGCATCCTTAATCGTAATTTCTACAGTCAAACAGAAAATGTATTCAGATGAGAACTTCTTGCTGCACTTTTAGATAAAAGCAAGGACATGGAGACAGCATAGTCACTGGTACCAAGTGGGAGCTGCCTCCAATCTCTTCTGCTACAATAAGTTTATATTGTGGTCAAAGTGTACGTGCAGCACAATGCAGGCTTGAAGGCTAAGCTCTGTGTGAGGCACAGCATAGATGTGGAACTGCTCAGGTTTTCTGAAACACTAACTCCTCAGTATACACTGATTCCAGACAGGATCACTGCAAGTATGATCAGTTATATTTGGTGAACTCAGCAAATACAGGGTTTGTTAAGAAATTCAGAAAAAGTGACATTCCCTCCAGAAGCATCTTCCTCCTGCTTTTTCCACTTGGCTTGCTTTGGCTTGGTATGTAGTTCAATTACATTGCATTCACTTGGTTTCTCTGAATTTCTCAGGTATGTGGGAAACGTTTGCCTTGTGGTAATCACACATGTGAACAAGTTTGTCATGCTGGTCCCTGTGGAGACTGTCCTCGTTCTGGGAAAAGGTTCTGTCCTTGTGGAAAAACAAGTAAGCTACAATTTTTTTATTTTTAACTGATAAATTGCATAAAAAGTTCTTCAGTCTTTCACAGTCTGTAGTTTAGGCTAATTCTGCAGGGCACGGTCCATATAGTCCACGGTCCTTATAGTTAACCGTGACAGTATATTAACTTCTTTTGCATAGCTTTCAAAGCTTTATTTAGTACCAAGGGTTTAATTTCTGATGTGAATAGCTGAGTAATAAGGAAGCTTATAAAAAAAACAAAAGAAAATTGCCGTTTGAACATAAATACACATTGCACTTTTTTCCTAAATATTTTGGCTTTTTTTCTTTTTTTGTAAATGTTGACTTGTGCTTCTGTCTCTTCATCTAGGGTTTACATTGCCTTGTACAGAAGATGTGCCCACCTGTGGTGATAGTTGTGACAAAGTTCTGGAATGTGGTATCCATAAATGTTCACAGCGCTGCCATCGGGGTCCCTGTGAAATATGCAGACAGGTTAGTCTTACTGTAGCAATTTCACATTTGGTTAGGGCTTTTAAACTATATGCCTGGAACAGYGCAGGTCTCATAAGGAAAATTAAATATATCTACCACAAATTCTATGACTTCATTTATTAAAACCAACATGTTTTTTTGTTATTCCCCTCCCAACCCAACACAATTCTGATTAACTAGTTGAGAATTATGTTGAGTTGAGGCATGGGTGAGTCTTCTGTTGCTTTGGCTTGTTTTTGTTCTGCTTTGTTTTCTAAAATGAATTGTACCCTAAAAGACATTTTTTCCCCATCTCTCCTTGCTTCCTTCTGGCTGTGTCTTACTATGATATACTTTCATTAGTAAAATGGGARGTGCTGTAATGTAACATTATTTTCTTCTTTGTAAGAAAATGAAGTTTACTGTGCTCGAGATTTCGCTGGARCTTCTGTGGTCTGGCTTACACAGCCAGTGCTCTGTCAAGTCTCAGTTGTCTCTTCCTGAACCAGCTTTGCCTACAAAGTATAGGTGAAAGTAGTTAGCATGTGACAGCCATGATGTAGGTCAGATAAACCTGCTCATCTACTTCATAAATTATCTATATACACTATGGGTGAATCTAGTTTAATGTGCAGGAGAGGTACTTTTTTGTATTAATTTGTTTTGCAATTACACTTGTTATCCTGCATGACACACTTGCATGGTTGCTGTGTAATGTTACTTTCCCTTGAGCTTTCCTTTACAGATAATAGTAGAATGTTTTCTTTTCCTTTTTTTTTTTTTCCTTTGTATTAAAAACACCCTGCCTTTTTTCCTGTCTTGCTGCCTAGGAGGTTGAAAAACAGTGTCGCTGCGGAAAGCACACCAAGTGCATGCCATGTCATAAGCCATATCTGTGTGAAACAAAGTGTACTAAAATTCGTGATTGTCAAAAGCACCAGTGTCGGAGGAAGGTAAAAGAGATAATCTTTCTGAAATGTATTGTTTAGCTCACTTTTTATAAAATATAGATAAAATTACGTGAATTTGTTGCTCCATCTCATGTTTTTTTTTTTTTTTTTGAGTTTTATTTCATGCCATTGAAACTACTTTTCAGTGTACCAGAATTCCCTGAAAAGGATGACATCAAGTAAAACTCACTAGCCTTATAAACAGGGAGGGCATTTTTACCATGTTTCAGTTCCAGAAGGCAATTTTTTCTTTCAGATTCTTGAGTAGTCACTGATGTGTTATGCATTGTGCAGTAGTTAAATCCATTTATTTCACTACTTTGTAGGAAGAGCTGGGAGTCACTTACAACTTGGTCAGGGATACATTCTTTTTTTTTGACACCCAGCATTCTGTCCCATCTTCTAATAAGCACAAGTGCATGCATCAGTGGTATGACAGTTGGGAATTGGAGTTTCGTTTCCCTTCTTGTTTGACATCAAAAGGAATGAATGATATTCAGAAGTATCTTTTCAGTTTATTCATTCAAGAAAGCCTGAAAGTTGCTGGCTGTTTGTGAATTAATACATTGTGAAAGTGTGAAATGCCTACTAAGTTTTATTCTTAGGTATTTTAAAATATTATTGTTACGGTGAATTTAGTTTATGTGAAAAGATTACAAAACAAGTAAATGCTATCTTGGCAGCTCTGTGTTGGAAAATCCAGGTTTCTTGTTGGAAGGAGTATATCATTCAAGTTAACAGAAAAGGTGGTGTTCTCTCCTGACCTGGCATCCACCAATGTGATGGTTTTGTGAAATGTCCTCATTCGTTCACTTTACTAAGTTATATAAGGATGGAAAATAAATAACTGGTCCTGAAATTATCTGACCTTTACTACAAAGGTAAAATGTATATTAAAAAATGGTTAGCAACATTTTTGTTGTGGACAATGTAGCATAAGAGTGGAAGAAATTGCAGAGTAATGAGGTAAACTGTTGGATGTCCTRTCTTCTGAAATTATTTTTAATTAAAATATTGCAATAAATTGAACTTTTAAATGTTCTTAGGCTTTTTTTTAAAGCCCTCTGCCTTTTTAGTGTGTTGAAATGGTGCATTCAAATGTGTTTTCTTCTTATTTTATAATTTAAGGGTTTTTTTTTAAACCACTTTACAGGTGGCCCTCTTTCTAGAATGAGTTTGAAGAAATTTGACTAAAGTCCACTGGCCTTTTTAAAATAATATTAAAGAAATGAGATAGTAAAAGAGGGAAAATGTATACCAGAAATTTTTGTTTCCAGTTACTAGAGTTTCTAGTTTGTTTTTTTTAAATAGTGCTGTTCTGGAAACTGTCCACCTTGTGATCAAGTCTGTGGGCGAACTCTCGGCTGCAGAAATCACAAATGTCCTTCAGGCTGTCATAGAGGTAAGAAGGGGTTAAGAATCCCTGTAGCAATGTAATGTTATTTATTTTTGCCATATTTCATGCTTGCATGACTGTATGTGGTGCTTAATAAATTCTCCAGATACATACAGAAATTGCTGCTGATTGAGTCTGGATRGTTTTGAAAAATCCTAGAATGCAACATGTAGGTTTGAAATAATAAAAAAAAGGTATGATGGAATTTGAATGTTTATTGGCGTCCTACTGGTAAAAGAAAATAACTTGTTACTGACTTTGAGAAGGGTAACAGAAAAGTTTGCTTCTGAATTCAGTGACCTTGGTTAAAAATATGCTGGAAAGGGGCAAAATTACCTGGCAGATTGCTTTGACATTTGTTTGGTAGGGGGTTAAACTGGAATGACTGAAAAATTGTCTGTCCTCTCGGCAATTTTCCCAACAGAAGCTGCTGCCCTGCTGAAACAGCAGCCAAGTAGACTATGTAATTACTCTTAGTATTCTGAAGTAAAAATTGCTACAACTCAGGAACTAATTCACAACTTGTTTAGCTGGTCTTCCTTCGGAGGCAGTGACTCTTAGGAGGAGGGGACAGGTAAAGGTGGTAATTGTACCAGTTAACTTCTATTAAATCTGTCACCACAAACTAGTGTGGTTTTTTTTTCTCTGTATACTGTGCCCCTTTTTCCCTTTCTTCTCCATCTTCTGTACCTATCTAAAGTCTTGTAATTATGTAATTTTTTGTGTACTGTCAGAAGAAAACAGATAACATTGTTTTTCCACATTAGTTTGGTTGATAACTAAATAATAAAATTCTGATTGGAAAACTGAGGCGCTAATGCTGCATTGTAGGATAAACTTGTAGCRTCAATGACTGTTTATATTTGATGCTGCTTGCATTTTACAATCTGGCTAAAAGTGACACAGATTGCTAATAATCAACATGAACACAATAAAGCATTTTCTGTGAGAAAACAAAAGTGATCTTTGAGAATGTTAGTATCAAATAAACACACTTAGTGGAGTAATTTATGGCAAGTGTTTGATTGTGCATTTACTAACTAGAGTTGCGTATAATGAAGCTAATTAATAAGACTAATGATACCTGATGATAAATTAATTTTCTAAATTCTCCCTGCTTTGACAAAATACAGTCTTATACCATTTGTAATATCTTGCTGAATGTTTGAAAATATTCCTAATAAAGGCAATTATTTTTATTTCAAAATATTTCTATTCATGTGTTTCACCCTGTATACTAATATTTTAATAGCTACTGAAAGTTAAAATTAATTATTTTATCTTTAGTATGTAATGCTGGGTCAGGTTAATTTTCCAATGAGCTGCCAGATCTCAGTGACAACTGATGTTAATAGAAATTGATGCCTCCTAGAAAATAACTTTTCAAATGGAATCCTTGAAAAGGTACCTAATCTCASTTAGGAGTTGCTGATAAAAAGCTCTTGGCCTTTAGCAGGAGTGCCTGAAAAAAGATAACTTATCTCTTCTGTTTGTGATTTAGGKTTTTTTTTGCTTATCTTCTATGCTTAAATATTTCTCATGCTTGCTGAAATTTACAGTGTGTTGCCAGGAAATCAAAATGTTTTGCTTCCTCCTGTGGTACAACACTTAATTTTTGAGAACAGTGTGYTCTCCCCTTATCTTCAGGCTCTCTGAATCTCTGATCACTGTCTTTCTGTATTTTTCAGAATGTAGTCATCTTCCTTCAGGATTTTTAAGTGAACTGGACGCATATTAGCCACTCTGAGCAGTATAGCTTTTAGACCTTCAGTTTATTTTGCAAAAGTAGGCAAGCTTGAGARGTGGGCCTTTGGGAATCTCATGAGGTTTTACAAGCCCAGGTGCAAGGTGCTGCACYGGGGTTGGGGCAATCCCTGGTATCAGCACAGGCTGGGGGATGAACAGATCCAGAGCAGCCCTGCYSAGARGGATTTGGGGGTGCTGTGGGTGAGAGGCTGGACATGACCCAGCCATGAGCACTCCCAGCCCAGAGAGCCAAACGTGTCCTGGGCTGCAGCCAAAGCCCYRTGGGCAGCAGGGCCAGGGAGGGGATTGTGCCCCTCTGCTCTGCTCTGCTYAGACCCCCCTGCAGGGCTGTGTCCAGATCTGGGGTCCCAGCASAGGAAKGACATGGATCTGCTGGAGGGAGTCCAGAGGAGGCCACCAAAATGATGAGAGGGCTGGAGCACATCTCCTATRAGGAAAGGCTGGGAGAATTGGAGTTGTTCAGCCTGGACAAGACTTCAGGGTGACMTAATTGCAGCCTTCCAGACCCTAAAGCAGCTCACAAGAAASATGAAGAGGGAKTTTTTACAAGGGCATGTAGTGGCAGGACAGTGGTTAATGGCTTTAAATGTAAAGAGAGTAGGTTTAGATTAGATAATTAGAGATTTTTTTTTTTTTACTGTAAGTGTGGTGAGGCACTGGAACAGGTTGCCCAGAGAAATTTTGGATGCCTCATGCCTGGAAATGTTTGACTCTGGGTTTAATGGAGCTTTGAGCAGTATGTGGAAGAAGTCCCTGCCCATGGCAGGGGAGTTGGAACTAGATTGTTTTTAAGGTCACTTCCAACCAAAACTATTCTATGATGCTATGTGTGCTAATCATGATATTGTTATTTAACTGACCTTGCAATTGCTTCCATACTTTTCTCTTCAGCAGCCTTTTGTCACGAGACATCTGCTTCTTGAAATGCTRCTTTTCAGATCCCGATAACAAGTCAGAATTGCTTAAAAAGTTTTGCTGTCAATAACACTTTCAGTTGTTTTATTGAAAGTTTCAGAATGCAACGTGATTAGTAGCTAAAATCCCATGTCTAAATTTTCTTTTTTAGAAGATTGTATTCTTGCTGTTAATTACTCAATAATCAAACTTAGCAGTTGGCACTTGGTAAAGAAATAGTATGGGACAGTTATAAATTAAAACATYAATCTTTTACAGATAGATACATTTTTAAAAATGCATCAGATTAGTTACATTAGTAGCTTTGTAGAGGTGGAGGATGTTTTCAARGAAGCATTAATTATACATAGTCTGAGCATTAATATCATACAAAATGTGTAAAATTTTATTGTACCAGTTTTTTGGTGTCCCTTACCTTTTTAAATTTAGATGAAAGATGACATTTTTGCGTATGTATGTAAGACTGAAATGCAAATAGGAAATACCTGAGTGTAGTGTGATCCAAATGACTGGGCTGCTTTTTAAAATGTGAGAGGGGGGTCATTTCTAACTTRCTTCTTATATTGTTAATATGTTTATTTTTAGGTAGTTGTAATCCATGTCCAGAGACTGTAGATGTGAAATGCAGTTGTGGAAAAACAGCCATTAAAGTGCCCTGTGGCAGAGAGCGTACCATCAGACCTCCCAAATGCAAGCAGCTGTGCAGGTCAGTRTAAAAAGTGTGTGAGTTTCCTGTTCATAAACTTCCTGTTTAAAGTGTCCTTAAAGAAAGTAGTAAAATATACCTTGAAAGGCAAAAATTGTTCCTTATCTGATTACAGCTATTACTTCTCAATCTTCTGTATCCTTGACTATGCAGATGGAGATTAGCAATAATCCTTCCTATCAGATACCTCTCTGACCCTGAGGTTTCATGAGCAGCTTGCCTGCTTCATGGGGGAGGTTCTGTCTCACCAAGCTCTTCCAAGTCTAGTCCAGCTCATTTCTTCAAGTCATCCCTGGTATGTTTTGAAGTACCTCAGTGAGGCAGTTTATCTAGAAAACTTTACTAGCAAAAGGCAAAAGAATATTTTCTGATTGGGTGTAGCTAGATTACACAGTGCAGAGTAGAATTAAGATTCAAACAGCTGTTTGAATATGTAAGCCCAGCTTTGATTTTTAATTTTATTTAGAATTGCTGTCTAATTTCGAAGTTAAACTAATTAAAAAGAAACAGCTTGTTCATTTCAATTCTTTATATGTTGAGCATAATTGTCTGTGGCTGTAACTTCATATTTCTTGCTGTCATATTGATTCATTCTTGGATTTTACTTCAGTCGGCCACCTACCTGTCACCATTCTACCCAGGAGAAACACTATTGTCACTTTGGGCGGTGTCCTCCATGTCGTCAGCCCTGCCAGAAAACGTTAACGTGTGGTCACTTGTGCCCTGTTTCTTGCCATGATGAAGCACTTGTGAAGCAGACTGGCTCAGTAAGTAAACAGTGAAAAATGATGTATTATTTATGTTAGGAACAATGAACATCAGTTGGACCTTAACCTTAYGTTTCGAGGCTTTTGGAGTTCAGAGCAAACACATCATCAAGTGCAGAGGTTACATAMCCCTCAGCATGATACTACATGGTTCTAGCATCTTTGTTGCAATCTAAGTAACTTTCTAATACATAATTGAATTGCTCAAAAATGTAGAAGACTTTCGTTGGAGTTGTATTATGAATSTTACTTTCAGCTGCAATTGCTTTTAGCATAAGAACAAAAAAAAATTTGAGTCTTGATATTTGCAAAACCATCAAAATTTGCACAGTTTAGAAGTCAGAAATTGTTTGGCATTTTTTAACATGACACATGTATGCACTGCATGATAGTAATTGAACTAGTTCAATAATTGAAATACTTTTACCTCTATTAACYGGCTAGAATTGTTTTGCTGGTCTTTTTCATTTGGCTTGGTGCTTAATTTTTAGTTCTAGGGGCCACAGGACTTAGTTTTTCTATCCCTGACCAGGCTAAGGATGAAACTGTAATCTTTTGTCTCTAGTGGGGGTGATGTGGAAATTTCCATTAGTAAAAAGCTAGTTACTACAGAGTGTATTTGTTAGAACTGGAAACTCTTTAGGTGATATGTTTATTTATGGTCAAGCAGGTAGTTATATTGTGTTTTGTGTTCAACTAGTGTCTTTTGCTCTCAGCATCAGTCTGCAGGCCCTTGGGAGCAGCCATCTGAGCCAGCTTTCATTCGGACTGCGCTACCATGCCCTCCCTGTGAGGTTCCTATACCAGTGTAAGTATTAAAAAAAAAAAAAAAAAAAAAAAAAAAAAAAAAAAAAAAAAAAAAAAAGCACTTTTATATGGAAAGAGATTTTTCATTTCTTTTTACACGATTGTAGAGATGGACATGAAATTAACCATATTTGCAGCTGTAAAGAGCCTATGTGAACAYCAGTCTCATAAAGCTCGGAGCACTGTGATAGATGTTTTTGTAGTGTGTGCTCACTGTATGAAAGGGCTAATTGTGTTAGTAAAGATCAGATCTTTTCTGATACATGTTTTGTGTAATGCTCCTTCAAAATACAAGTATGAAAGTTGTGAAGTTTGATAGTCATCACTGACATGATGTAGTTTTCATCTTGTTTGGTTTATGGGATCATAATATTCTGCATAATCAGTTGCTATTTTGTTTCTGTCATTTGGTTATTATATGCTAGTRAATGACAGGTGGATACCTTTCATCCCATCTGCTTCTTTCCTTTTTGCTTTTGACTTCTCCAGAAGGTTCTGCTCCTTGAGTTGAGCTGAATCAACTCTTTTTGTGATGATGCTGAGGATGTAAGGGAAGACATGATGATGGTTTTTTTCGCTTTGTTTTCAATTTGATGGAACCGCTGTTTACATTATAAAATGAGGACTCAGAATTCAGTATTCATTTGCAAAGTAAAAATTATGGTGCTTTTGGTCTGTTTTTGTGTTGTGCTATCCTACGGGTTTTAACTCTGAATAGTTCACGTGTATTAGTGTCTTTTTGTTTTTTAAACATCCCTCCTTCATCTTATGAAGTGGGAACTAGATGGAGGAAGATAATAAAAAGATCTATTTAACTATGTAGATATGTTTAGAACATCGTATGGGATTGTGCTCTAATAGGTTTTACTTTTGTTCAAAGCTGTGACCACTCAGTACTTCTGGTACTTGGTCTCAAAAGCCAGACTTATGAAAGGTGAAAAAGTCAGATTGTTACAATCTGATTTCAGTGTTTATGTGGAAGCCAGCTGTAGAAGTTCTCTCATGTATTTGTTCTTCTAATTTTGCAGAACCATTAAGCTGGAAATTACCTTGAGGTTAGGTCATCTAGTCTAGCCTCCTTCTTAAAGCAGACCAACACTGAATTAAGGGAATTTTTCTCTAGCTTTTTCCACCTGGACCTTAAAGCCCYCCCGAGTACATTAATTCTACTTAGAACATTGCTGTTCTAAGAGTAGGATTGTTGTCTCTTACATCCCTGCTGTGAATCTCAGGAGAGAGCCTGGCTTCATTGCCTTGGGTTATTATGTCCCCAGCCTGTATTACTGCGTATATGTGTATATATATATATCCCCTATATATATATATATATATACCCCCTTCTATATTGCTGGGATTTTAGTCAGTGACTAGATGGAGGACTTTGTCTTCTGCATTTCATGAAATTCTCTCAGGCTGTATCTTTAGATGCTGAATGGTACCCCTGCCCTTGAATGTGCTTATTGTACTCTTCTTTAGCATTATCTGCAAAAGGTGCATTAACTCTTTCAAGTTACCAGGGAAAAAATAATTGAGATAGGTCCCAAGCTGAAGAATTCCATGTGTAACTGCTGTCTGAGCAGTATAGAAAAACTATCTACTACCATCTGAGCCCAGTGATCCTGATAGTTTTTTATACACCTTGTAGTTGGTCTTACACCATTACAGCTCAATTTTAATGCAAATTTGCCATGGGGAATTGCTCATATACCGATCTAGTTTCATGACAGAAGACAATCAGGCTGGTTGAGCAGTTTACTCTTGGAGTGGAACAGAATTATGCTACACTGGAATGCAGAAGTTCTAGAAGCCAAATTAGTGGGATATAGGAAGAGTACTATAGATATAAGRTAGTTGAGCTGTGTGAACAAGAGACTCCAGTCTGCTGATTGCTCTTGTTAGTATCTTGCTGTTCTAAACATCATCTGTAGCTCTTGTTAGTTATTTTGTGTCAGAGAAGTTATCAGGGATATTTTTTCAAAAATACTTTCCCAGAAATTCTTAGGAACTGATTTACACATATTTTTGCTTGAATATTCATGATGATTTCATTAATTGCTTGATTTTAGTAGAGATATCAAGGAGATTACAGATGTGGAATGGCAGGTAAAAAGATTCTTTCCRAAATAACTTGAGCGGAAGATTGATTTCAGTGTTTGAACCTTCACAATTCTGATCCAAGTACAGTAAACCCTTCTAAAAGGGAACAGTAGGAACAGGAACAGTAAACCCTTCTAAACCCTTCTAGACCCTTCTAAAAAGGAGAAAACTGTAAACATAATAATTGAAAAATAAGATGTAATGTATTTGTAGAGACAAAGAAGATGATACTTGGAACCAAAGCAGGTTATTTTCTAAAAAGTAATTGATTTCTTATACAACTACAACTAATTTGCACATAAAATAGATTTTGAGATTTTTTGTTATAAAACAAAGTTATCCAAACAACTGTTGAAAAGGAGGAGGCATTGAGCTGYACAGATGGATGATTTTCTCTTAGTTTGCACTTTTAGAAAATAGATTGCACTAGTTTTTGTGTGAAAAGCACTGTCACTGTTTTAAGTCCCCAAAACAAATATGTGTTTTCTAAATCTCTGATTTTTTTTCTTTGACAGGGAGTGTCTTGGACAGCATGAGGTGAGTCATGGAAACTGGTTTATGCATAGAAATATGGCAAATATCTCATTTTGCCAGGCAAAACAAAAAACATTAAAAATAAATACTAGATTTTTTATACATATTTTAAAATCAGTGAAGTAGCTTAACATAAGAGCCTGCATATCAGAAGGTATTTTAGTTCTGTTCTGGAGAATATATAACTATTTGACTTTGTAGAATTCATGGACAAAAATTTAAACTCATGGTTTGTGCAGTTATTTGTGTTTTCTTGCAGTTGTTTAAATTGTGTTTAAATGTTTTTTGGTGGTCTTCTTATTAAATATTTCTGCTTTYCCCCCCCTCATTCTATAGTTTATATTCTCTCTCTGTCACACACTCTTGAGTTCTATGAACTGCTGTATATGTTTTAAAAGGATAAGGAATGTAATGTCATACAGGAGAATKCTCATGTGACTTGCATCTAAGCACACATAGATGAAATTAGACAATATAGTGGAAACTTCTTTAGTGTTAGTTACTAACTTGTGTTTTTGGTGTGTAGCCTTCTCTAGTTTTAGATGAAGTCACTATCTGTTTTGTCTTACATGAGAAGAGAACCTAATTGATGCTTAAATAGTTCTCATCATTATTCACAGTAATTTCCAAATGTTATGAAATTTGAGGTCAGGTAATTTTTCTTGATTTCAAAAGATGATAGCTAAGCTAATTTTAAAGAAGCTTGTATTATAGCTTTGTCTACTAGTATGTCTGGCATATATTCACTGTCACAGTCTGACTAACAATATTATAAAAAACCCTGTCATTTTAAGTTAGTAAAAAATTACAGAAAACACTAAATACAAAAAATATTGAAGATACCTTTTTTTTGCCTTTGTTAATAATCTCAGTATGCATTGTAATGGTGGCTTGATTATGTTGTTGCAACATCTTCAAATGTTGTTATCAACATTCACATAGCTGCAGTCTGTTTGGGCCGCACATTCATTAACCCATCCAGGCTGCGAATGCAGCTTCCATAGAGCTACTTTGCAGCTTGCTACTTGCTAAAGAAAATGATGCCCTGAAAATGGATTAAAAGAGCAACAGTGCATATCTGTTTGTTGTTGAAACAGATCGGCTTTGTTTTGTGTTTCCACAGTAAAACTTACATGTATATTAGCTAATTTTTTATTGACTCAGTGACACAGTTTCTGATAGGGCATATTGAATCTCATCTGAACTTTCATGAATTGATGTATAAACAGAAGACAAGCTGTGATCAATAGACCSAATCTATAACTTGGTCTAGACAATGTCAAAGGAGTTGGTCCTGTTCATAGGGTTGGGAAGTTTGTCCTTCATAATAGGAGGACAGTATCACTAYTCTTACTAGAGAAACTAGTAAAATTACTACTAATTTATTACTACTTGTTTTGGAATGATTAAAAATAATTTCATTTTCCGATGTATACTAGTCTTAGCTGAATCATTCAGTGGTTTTTGGATCATGTTTTCTTTATAGATTGGTGTAGAAAATAAGGACAAATCCCTCGGAGTCTATRGCTGACTTTATTTATTTAGAGTTTTTGATGCTACGTGGTACTCTAGATGAAATGTTACTTCTCTCAGCCAGCAGAGGGCGGTGCTGCCCTCCTGTTGAAGTGTAGCATGTCCTGGAGTGGAATGAGAACTCCTAATCTTTGAGACTTTGATGGAAGTCGAGGAAAAGAATTATTTGTTAATGTGTATGGGAAGTATATTTCAGTTGCAGTGTGTTTCTGCTCATTGTACATTTTTGTGTTGTTCTAAGTTCTCTGGAAAGAAAAAAATCCATGTAATGTCTGTTCAGTGTTTTACAGCCACATTGGTTCTTAACAAATAATCTCAACTCAAATTAATTTACTGTTGTTAACAAGAGAAAACATGTGTATAGGAATGCTTCCCTCCAGCCGAAGTTTTCAGCCCCTGAGGGGATTTTCACTGGGAAATGGAAACTGTTTACAAGTGACAAAAGTAGCAATTTTCATAAGCAAAGTTTTGCTGTGAATAGATGCTTATTGCTGCACTATGTTRCTACTTACTTGAACTCCTGTTATACCTCCTGTAATGAAAGAGACATAAAAAGAAAGAAACTAGAAATTAGGTAAGTTATAAAGCTGTCTTGTATCAGGATGCCTGCTGGCAATAAGTAGAATAGAGACTAAAAGGAAACATCTTAGGACTTGTATAAAAAGCAAATCTACTGTCTAATTTTTTTATATTTGAACAGTTATTGTAGTTTGTATAGGGATTGCATTTTTTTTGTTTTTGTTTTTTTTTTGGGAGTTTTTTGGGGGAGTGGGGGCTTTGTTGTTGTTGTTGTTGTTGTTGTTTTTTTTTTCCTTTTGTTTTTATTTCACTTTGGTGTTTAGCTTAGGAAGTATTTTTAAGGGATTGATTTAGTTTGAACTCTTACATGTCCTGGCATTTAGAATAAGCAATTTATCACTTGAAACAACAGACTTAAAATCACTTTTTAGATTATGTAATTGTATAACATCTGTGCTTAGTGGAAGTATGGTTCTATATGATGTTTAAGCTAAAAGATTTCTTTTAGCTGAGGTTTACGGTCTTCTCTTAAATAATTTAACATATATTTAGAAAATAAATAACTCATCTTTCATTAATTTGTAGGGTCTTAAAAGTAGTTCTCAATTTTGTTTCAGGCTGTATGCCAGAAAAATCACCTATTAACATTGGTTAACAATTGGTTAACACCTCTTAACAGTTGGTGCCATCCCAAAAGGAAATCTTGATGTCCTACCTTTTTTTAAACTCTTACATATGTTGGAATTTCTATAGCAGTAGTACACATAAGCTCTCTTTTAATAGCAAATTATTTTAAATCTCTTTTTATGGGAAACATTAATTAAAGCTGATACAAAGTAAATGAAGACAAAGAAGGAAATCTTTGCTGACTGTGATAGCGATTTATCTGCTGTATATAATTCTGTTGTAGTTGCTTTATTTCATTAAATATTCTAGAGGAAGGAAAATGCTCTAGTTTTGTTTCCTTGATGAGTATTGTGATATGCTGTAATATCAGACTTTCTATTCTGGGCATATCATTGAACTCTATTTCTTCTTGGGTGTTGTTTTTTTTTTCTGGTAGGAATTTAACGCTGTGTTTTATTATTCTGAATAGTTTTTAGTTCTGGTTCATTTATAGGAGGAAGGTCATTACTCTGCCTGTAGGTACAATTTTATGTAAAACTTGGTGAGATTCATCTTCTTAATTAAATGCATTATAAAGGTTTCCAAAATTTCCTTGCCCTGTTGATTTTTTCTTTCATATTCTAATAGATGTATCTGTTAATTGCTTTTATGCATTTAGGATATTTCCTGGAAAGCTTCTGAAAGTTGTCATGTCTTTTTTTCCTTTCCTTCCTTTCCTTCTCCTATGGAATACCTGTAGTCTGAAAATAATGCTTCTTACTTTTTTTTTCCCCCCATTCAGCTTTCATAAAATACTAATGATTCTTACATGCCTTCTTAATTCTTCGGCTCATCAACCTCCTGGAGTTTGTGGCTACTTTGATACTTGTCTTTGTAGCAAGAGTTCCATCCCCCATTTAGCCATTTCAGAAATGCATTCCAACTGCAGAAATACATTCCCCAGTAGAAAGTAAAACTTCATTTTGTCCTTTGGATTTATTACTTAGATCCACAAKAGAGTGATGTGCTGAGAAATGGAGGAAAAAAATTTCATTGAAATTTTTCCATTTTTGGCTACTGTGTYAGTTGTTTCCAGAAGACTGTCTTATCGTTTACTGAGCTCAAGCTGAAGCTATGCTGGATGCAGCCAGAGGGCTGGGCTTTTCCCTCCAGTCAGCCATCTGAAAGCTGCCATTGTTGCCTGGCTGGCAGTGCTTCACTGCCCTGGCTTTGTTTGACAGTGCCTCTCATCTGTGTACTTGAGGGATGTTACTGGAATGGAAGCTCCACTTCTGTCTAAGTGCTTGGCTCTAACTGGAGCTAGTGATTGTGTCCTCAGCTGGTGGAAGACTAACTCTTGGTAAAAAAAAGTCTTATCAACATTATGGAACAGTGCAGGCTTAGAGCTAATTGCTGTTACTGCCCCGATCTGCTGTCAGTGCCTGAGCCGCAGTAGAACCAGTAGTCATAAAAARCTTAGTGGCAAGGAGAGATGGGCAGATTGTAATGTTCAGTATATGTTTTCTTTGATTCCTTTTATCTTCCAACGTGCTTTGACTACTTAACATTGCTAGTGAAAGGATGTTGTGCTCTGAGGAGGAGATGGAAGAGGATGTGAAGGGGTAGGATATTAGGAGCATTAAAAGCTTTGGTAATTGGTGTGTGCATTCTGGATACAGTACTATTCTCTGCTTCAGACTCTCTATTAGGCCTGCTGCTTGCTGGCTCTTCCTCCYTTGGTTACCAGAAACATTCATCAGAGACAGAGCAGGATGTTTGTAAGGGGCAGTAGGAACCAGGTGTTCAAACTACTTGATGTGATTGTTATATTAATGTTTTAGCTAGCATTAACTTCAACTCTGACATGGGCATGTGAAGGTGGTTGGATGTGGTAGCCTCAAGGTTTTCAGCTTTTCTGCGCTGTATGCCATGCTTGATGTTCATGCTTGATGTTCAGCCTGCCATGCAGACTTCTGTTCAGTCTCAGTGAGTCAGGATGATAAGAGGAGTTCAGAAGTCTTGTGCATGCATTGTATTTTGCAGTGACTTGATGTGGAATATGATTTTTTTAGGGTGAAGCTCAGAAAACATAGGCAGGTGGATTTCAATAATACTTTGTGTGATTGAGGGAGATCAACATGGACAATGCTGAAGGGAGGCTGTCCCTCACTCTGCCCTGTGGTGTGTCCTCTCTTCTCTCTTTTCCAGTGTTCACCTGTTTGTATGGCCAAGCCACTGGCAAAAGACAAGCAACTTTTTTCTATGAATTCCTTTTTTTTCCATTTTGATTATTTGAATCATCTTGTTGTAAGAGGAGATATGTGGTAGCACTTGTTCAAAGTAAGTCCAAGGTTCAAAGTAAGTTCGAGGTAGTGTGTAGTGAGGACTGTAGAGTTTGAAGAGAATGAAAGAATGGGTACATTGCAAAGCTGTGCAGTCAACTTCAGTTGCAACATGGCATTACACTCTTAGTCTAGTCGAAGTGAGTTATGTCACATTAGCCTCTTGTGTAATAACATCACAAATAGTTTGTTTTTCTCCGCAAAGTGATCATGAAATAAGGGAAAAAATCAATTTTTTTGACAGCATCASAAAAAACTTACTTTTTCTTGTGTGGGTATTATATAATGGTTGGAAAACAGGAACAGTGAGTTTCCTCTAGTCCTTTCATACAGGGGGACTTGTACTATTCAACTTCAGGCAAGTAACCTAGGTACGAGTTTATACACAATTTTGGTACCGATGAAGAGTAGCAGCTTTTAAGTAGATGCTCTGAAGAGTACTGCAGARCTCTGTTAACTGGAGTGTTAACCTCAAATTAGAAAGTACAAATGTATCACAAGACATTAAAATCTTAGTCCTGTTACGGAGCCATTTCTGCTTCTGTCTACCTCTCCTGGGAGTTTATAGTTAATGTAGTCAGTATTTGCTTTTTAGAATTTCTGGCTTGCAGGTTGTTTCCTGCTTTTCAAACTGTAAAATATTTTGGCTTTATGGTGATTGTAACACAGTTAGCCCTGTGAAAGCAAATTGTAACTGTCTTCAGCAATAATAGTAAAGCAATTTAGGAACCATTAATGGAAAGCATGAGTGTAATTCAGAAAGGCGGAACAAATGACACCAGAAGATTTGAGTTTATAATATTCTTTCAAAAAAAAAGGGAAACTATGCTGCAAAAGTTATGTTGTTTAATGAAGTGTGATTTTTTTTCCTGTTATAATCAGTGTGGTAACATTGTTATGTGGACAGGAACCCAAATTAAAAATCAAATGGAATTTTACTGGTGTTTTATCTTTAACAAAGATACTGGAGAACCAAAATTTCTCTGTAATAATTCTCTGCCTCTATGTGTGTATGTCGATGTACATGTATCTCACACACTACATATGTGCAATGTCTGTATGTATATCCCACCTGCATATCTATAGTCATTCATTTCTTTTTAACTTTTAGGTTAGTCCATTGCCATGTCACTCTGCAAATCCCTACTCATGTAAGAGATTTTGTGGGCGGCTTCTTGATTGTGAGAATCATACCTGTATGAAAGAGTGTCATCATGTTACTAAGTTGAACAGTAGTGCAGATGGAAAGAAGGTAGGTTAATTTTCTTCTTGCTTTGTTTTTTGTGTATTTTATAGGCATATGCGTTGTCTTCAGTTTTATCTTAAAAATAAAGAATTTGCAGCTKGAAGCTACGGATCCCGTTGGAAGACTTGCTTGTGTGCTGTTTCCATCTGTGCTCTGACAGTTAGCTAATCTCTTATTTCCTTAGACTATGAATCTGAGACAATATTTTTTTTGCAAATTCTATACCTTTTTGTTTTGTGTTGATATACATTACTTTGATTTCATCAGAACCTTATTTAACACCCTTGAGAAGTCTCTTCTACTGTTGCTTTTTGTAATTGTTGAGATCAAGGGAAGTACACTACTGATAATCCCTACATACAAATGCACTTGCAATCTGCTGCGTAAACTGTTTACTGAGGAGATCTAAATGGGTTGAGGAGGCTGGGAGATCTTTGGCAGAGCACTGGAAACATTGCAGAATTGCAGAAGATTTTTCAGAGTACTGGGTTGATATATTCTTGTTTATCAGTGCCTACTAGAAACTGTGATTAATRCAATTGAGAAGTTGTAGATGTTAACTGCTGAAGATAACATGAAACAAAAAAAAAGTATAAAGCTTAAAATTGTTCATGTTATGAGCAGTTAAAGCCACATATATTTATGTTCTGTGGTTTAACAGAGTCATAACTTGGAGGAAAACAGCTTCTCAAGTTTTTTAAGCATTACTTTAGAAAAAGTTGCGATGTGGGCACTTGGCATTTAGAAAACAGAGAAGCATTCAGTTGGGTACAAAGCATAAATGTTATATTTTAACTAGCTGTTATGTTAACTTAAATAGCATAATTTCCCTGTGGATTCCAATCCTGGAAGTGATGGTGTTGTCATCTAATAATTGTGTATTGTGGCTAACATATTAATCTATTAATGGTTGTGGAAATTTTGTCTCAGTTCAGGCTGTTAGTGCAACTGGTGGAACAGTAACTTGCAGCAGTAGAGTGACACCAATAAAAACTGAGAATGACTGTTAAGCATCCCCAGTTATAAGAGGTTGTCTGCCTGCTGCTTCAGTTAAGCCAATTAAAATGTGAATGAGTCAGGACTATTCCTAGGTTATTTTGAATGAGGCAATGCTTTCTCAGAAAATGGGAGTCTAGGTACCCACAAATTATGGGTAAATCACATTTCTCAATTTTCTTCAATTCTTATGAATTCAAGTTGGTGTTGACCTTTAGAGCTTTTGTTCTGTTGTTTTGGTAGACTAAATGTAGTCAAGGCTGATTAAATTTCTGGCTTATATGTCTGAGTAGTGATTTTTCTGTCTGGAATTTCAGTTTGTTCTGCATGTTGTGTTAGAAAAATATTGCAGAAGGGCCAGCTGTTTGCTGTTACGTACTGTTAAATGTTATATGACAGTTTTCTAAATGGTATTAGTTGCTGGGTTTTTTTTTTAGGCAGCTTCCAGGATATACTGAAGTTAATAACCCTTTTTGGAAGATTATACAGAGTATCATATGTGTATGGAAACAAAATTACTTAAAAGTTTGCTTCTTAAAATCAAACAAACCAACCCCTCCACCCCTCTATTATAGAGAGTAGTATGTAATTACATGTGTACATGTAGTAACATGGTGAGTGCGATAAGTTTTTAATATGAAATTACTTYTTTTTCTAGAATTTTTAATAAAGAATTAACAGAGGCGATAGTCATTTTCCAAAGCACTAATATTAAGGAAGTTCTTTTATGCCAGGAAGGAAATACAATTCTCTTTGACCAACAAACACTGGTATTCTTTTCTTTTAAAAAAACATACTTTAATAATTACTTTTGCTTGTGAAATATTGTTTTAGCAAAAACATCCCAAGTCTTTCTTCTATATAAAAGGTTGTTAATGACATCTGACAAACAAATGTCTGGTACTTTCTTTAGTGATTTGTTCTTATTTTGTTAGGCGGGTCCAGAATGTTCACAGTGTGAAGAAGAGTGCACCAAACCCCGTCCATCTGGTTGTCCTCACCGATGTGTTTTGCCCTGTCATCCTGGGGAYTGCCCGTCATGTCTCCAGATGCTTAAAATAAAGTGTCACTGCAAACTGTCAGTGCTGTATATTGAGTGCTTGTAAGTGTCAGAACACAGCCCAGCTTTTCTTTTCAATGCTATTAACTGGAAATCATTTGAAATGTCTGGGGATGAGAGCTGCTCTTTCAGCAATTTATAAAATTTCTCTTGATTATAATTTCTAAGATAATGTTTTCTTCCATTTAAAAATTTCCAGTATTTTATATTATAGCTAAAATTGCTATAGATGCATGGAGTCTAGTGAATAGAAATTATTTTTATTATGTTTTTATAATATAGATGATCCTTTGAATTTTACAAGTATTTAGTAATCTACATGATATTTGTTCTATATGTGCTTCTTTTAGAGCATGTAAAGAGGTATTTTGTACAAGCATTACAATTATATGTAGCTTCTGTAAAATGTCTTTGTCTTTGCAGTTGATATCCTTCAATTTCTAGCTATTTTAATTGAAAAACTGCTTAGTAATCATTTGTACACCTTTTTAATTATTTGTGTGTGTGTRTAGAGTGTAAGCTAGACTTTGCAAAATATAAGATGTAACTTGGAGATTGTTTTGAATATATTCATCATATGCAAGTATGGGGTTTTTTTATTAATTTCCTTCGAAGTACCTCAAGTCTTCTAAATTTATGTGAGTTTGTCTGTAAAACAGGGCAATTTATATAAGTCCCACTGGATGTGGACAAATGAGTCCACTTTTCTTTACAGTGTAATATACTGAAAAGATATCCTTAATTGTATTGTCTTTTGTTGGTTTTAAATTGAAAATTTAAAATACAAATACATCTTTCCTGTTACAGGAAACTAACATGTGCTGATTTAAAAGAAAAGGAGCTTCTCATTTCCTGCAAAAATCAATGTCCAAAAGAGGTAAGCCATATTAACAAAGAAATRTTTGATTGGATAGGTAGTGGAATTTTGTGAATATAATAATTACATAATTTTGCCAAGCAAACTAGAGAAGCTTAGTCTGAATGAATATGCTAAATGATAGATATGAAGGTGGTTAGTGAACTGTACTTGAAGGACATTTATTRTTGTATTGCCGTTAATATATTAATGTCATCTAGGAGGGTTATATTAAAGGAAAAGAAGTTTGTCTCYAAGGCAGTACTGACTTGAATGCTTAAACATGCATACAAGGTTGAATGTGGAAGAGTATGTCCTCCCACATGGTTACACACTGGTCATGAATTTATATCTCAAAAATAATGGGATGCTGTTGGTTTAGGAAAATTGCTGAGAATTGTGCTTGCTATTCTCATCTAAATACAAGTTTATCAATCCCTATCTGTGCAACAATTTCGGGGCTAAGAGATTTTATACTTAATAAATGAAATGAGCTAATAATGCCCTGATGTATTAGTGAAATGTATGYTAAATAGTGTAAAATAAAAGACAAGCCCATTAGTCTCTCTGCTGTATCTGGCTACATCTAAAGTTTTGCTTTAGATGAGAAGAGTGAAGAAGAGAAGAATAATATCCTTACTGCATGATGCTTAGTCTATGAGCCAATGGCATCAGTAAAGAATATTCCTGTTGAACACTACGTTTGAGTAATAAAGTTTGTGGAGCAGGGCAGGAACTGGTTGAAGAAGCTGCCCAATTTTCAGCAGCAACAGATCAGACATAATTCAGGATTTCTCTTACAGCAGTGTTACCCGCAATAGGACGTGAGGGATGGCCAAATGACTTTGTCCTTGTCCCTCCCAGTGTTGTGGTTGTACTGCTTGTGTGCTTTCAGAAATCTGTGCATTACTTACTGTTTTATGGTTGTTCTTCAGTTGTCATTAATTGTGCTGGGTGACAGCCTTTTCTTTACTCCATTTCCCATGGGTTAGAAAATGTGTGAAGTTGAAAAGCAGGGATTTTGTTATTGTCCAGTGTTGGAAACTTCAAATGTGAATCCCTGTCTGGATTAGAAAACTTTTTTTAAAAATATTGAGTAAATGCAAAAATGCACGAGATTCCTGCTGCTTTCCCAAAAGTCTCTGTTCCTCTTCCTTTCAGACGGGATTGTATTAGCCCCAACAGGAAGGCTGTGCCCTGTATGTAGTTGTATCTTCTGCTTTTTGCTAGAAGCCTGTCTGATGATTTTTTTTTCTGTAAATGAATGTGCCTTTCACAATTTTCTCATCTGGATGTCTGAAAGCTCTCTTCCTGGTTGGGGACCACTTTGGGATATTATTTTATTGTCCATTTTGTTGTCCTTTCATGTCTCTCTCTGTTACTTTGGTTTTATTTGCTCCAATTCTTCCTTCTCTGTATTTTCAAGAGTACTTCATGAACTATGTCTTCTGTACTTCAGCTTCTCTACAAAGAATTTTTTCCTCACATCTCATCTTTGATTATGTAACTGTTGTGATTTTTCTGAACATATTCCCCAGACTTAGTCTCAGACTTAAAATCCACCTAGCAGTGGTCCCAAACTGTGGTTTGCAGTTCAGAATTGCCTTGTTCCACAGAATGCTATCTTCTTTACTTAATTTGGTGGGATGTGAAAGAAAGTGTAGAACAACAGAATTTATGTTAGTTTTATAAAACTTCAACTTAATTCTAAAATTCTTAGTCCTATAAATGCTTTGGAAAATAAGGTTTATTGCAGCTTCTGCTATCCAGAGAATTGTTTTAGTGTAATTGATGAGTAGAAGTGCATGTTTTTCCTTTGCTGTGATTCTAGCTCTAGCTCTTACTGTCTTTCATGAAACATAGGTGTTACTGGTATCTTCCTGCTTCAAGTAGTTCATATCTTTGTGTTACAGTACATCCTACTTTCTTCAGATCCTACTTTGATAACTACATGTGTATTGTATGGGGCTTGGCTTTTGCCATTTTTTTGTATAAAAAAATCTATTCCCATTTCTCTGAATACTGAATAGTGCTAGAAATATTTTGTCTGTGTCTGTTTCATAAACAAAATACATGTCTGCAGCTTTGAGATAATTAGCTAACTGTATGATAATACAGATTATACTGATAGTTCTCTTTTAAAGGAGTCATTGATAAACACAGTTTGAAGGAGCAGCCTTAATAGACATCACCCTGCCATTCCCACCACCACCTTTTCCCAGCAAATATAGGTTGAGCCCATTTTGTTGTTTATAGGATTTTGTCTCATGAGACAAGAACTTACAAACAATTTGGCCACAGATAAGATGGATAAGGCTACTGAATTTAGAGCATTTAAAGTTTGTAAATCTCTTATGTCTGGCCAAAACTAATCTGGAAGTGTTTTTGTGTGCAGTTCTGCTCAAGTAAATTTCAAATTAGAGTTTCATGAGAATTTTCTTATTCAATGTTATCGGGGTTATTAGCAGAGCTCAATGAAGCTGATGTTTTCTAGTCCTAGCTTACCATAGTGCAATTTAGGTTCAGTGGAATGCAGTATTTTACTGCAGTTGTCATTTTGAGATGTTTTTGGTTAATGGAAATGACTATAGACGGTATGCTACCATATTTATTTTCCAGGTACTATGGTACATTTGGGGATAACAATTATATTGTCTGATCCTTTGAAAAAATGGTACAGAAACTTGAAAAACTTGGAAGATTTCATGCTTTTGTTTTGGCTATGGCAGTATAAAACTAAAAAAGTGACTTCTAGTATTATATAGTGCAAGTCACATTTCCTTTCTGCTTTAGGGAGAAGGAGAGTCTTTAATGCTGCCACAGCTGTTATGTATGAGATACTTCAATTAAAAAGTCAATTCTCTTGTTTGGTAATAATAACAAGATATCCTGTTGAAGGAAATTTTTTTTTTCTTAATCAGGGTGATTAAATTCTTACGATCATGCTTGCAGATGTTTTGAGATAATTATTACATAGAAATTTTAAGTCTATCCGTTTTCATTGTTGATGTTTTCCTATCAGGATTTGTGAATCTGTGTTTAACACTTTATTCCATGTAGTTAGTATTTTTTGACAAAATATCCATACTTTGTAGTTTTATTGTGCTCTTCTATGGTCTTGATGTGAAATATGGGACTCCATTATGATAAATTTAATTTAACATGATAGAGACAATGCCATTTCCCCCCCCTGTACTCAGCACCGGTGAAGCAATACCCCAAGTCCTGTGTTCAGTTTTGGGCCTCTCACTATGAGAAAGACAAAGACACTGATGTGCTGGAGCCTGTCCAGACAAGGGCAGCGTTGCTGGTGAAGGGTCTGAAGCACAAGTCTSATGAGCAGGCACTGAGGTAGCTGGGGGTGTTTGGCCTGGAGAAAAGGAGGCTCAGGAGGGACCTGATTTCACTCTACAACTGCCTGGAAGGAGGTTGTAGATTGATGGGGATTGGTTTCTTTTCACACAGGTGACAGTACCAGAGGAAATGGCCTCTAGTTTTGCCAGTGGAGGTTTAGATTGGATATCAGGAAAAATGTCTTCACAGGTGGTCAAGCAGTGGCCTAGCATGCCCAAGGAAATAGGAAGGTGGAGTCACCGCCCTTGGAAGTGTTCAAAAAAGTGTGTGGATGTGGCACTTGGGGGACATGGTTTATTGGTTAACTTAGTCATGTCAGGCTAAGGGACCCAGTGATCTTAAAAGTCTTTTGCAACCTTAACAAGTCTATGTTTCTATAAATTTTACAAGTGTGCGTATCTTTTSGAGTTTTTTAGTACATTAAATTAATTAAGCATTCTGGAAATAAAATTTAATTCTGTAAACACACATTGCAAATATATCTGGATGGCAAAAGTTTAATTTTGTCTTTGGAAGTGGTAAAATTCTCTTTTGTGCTTAGCTTTTGGGATCACTGCTCAAAAGTGCTGTTTTCTTTAGTAACATATTTCTTTATTATCAAATGTGTGTTAATGGGTTGTGGTTATTGCCTCCTGCTGGAGTTCTCTTAAGCCTCCATAAGTGTTGATGGAGTTTATCATCATCAGATATAATGTTAAGATTTAAATGCATTGCCTATGGGAAAAGTATTTGTGGGATATTTTTTGGTTTTCTTTTCAGAGCTGTGGATTAAATCCCTTCTTTTCATGTCCTTGCAATATCAAACATAAAGCCTGTTCAATCTGGGCTTTAGTCTGCAGGTACCTTTGACAAGAGATCTTGTATAGCAGAAAAGGATTTAAAGAGGGCACACACTTTCCGTTTTGCACCGAGTAGTTCAGCATGGACACTTTAAAAGAAGAAAAAAAAATCCCTTCCCATTACATTTTTTTATCCAGCAGAAGTAGCAGAATGATTGCTTTTGTTCTCTGAGATCATGCGGAAATGATTTGCCAGCTCCTCTTGATTTTTTTTTAGCGTTGCCTTTGCAGTGGAGGGAGTAAGAAGAAAGTTTCTCTGGAAGCTATTTTTTTGTCCTATATCTCTGTGCAGGGAGCTAAGTGTGTACATTTGCTTTTCAGTATAGTATTAAACATATTGCTGTGCTATAAATATTCCTGTCCAATGGTGTCTAAGAATTTTATTGCAGTAGCACTTAGAGGTCAAGGTAAGGATTAGTGTCTTGAATTTCCAGCTCTGACATCTTAGTTACGACATGACTGTTTGGGCTTTGACACTACTAATGAAAATGTGCTTAATTACTGTGGAAGAGTAAGCTGGCAGTAATAGTTCTAGTCATGGCTTGTTCTGGCCAGCATGAGRTGATTTGCAGATGGGACTAGAGTGAGTTATTGTGTATGATGCTCTTATGTAGGGGGCCGGAAGATGAGCCCTCCTRCTTCACAGTGTTCGTGTGGTAACAAATTGATTTTGCAAAGATTGTGGTCACTTGTGAGGAGACTCAGCCATCAGACTGCATGTTCTGGGTGGTAGTCTGACCTCGGTAGCATACAAGGCTTAGACAAGCTTCTCCCCTCATATTTTCAAAATGAGGCAAAATAGCTTTTGATTTAGGGAAAAATATTTACTGATGATCAGTTGTCCCTGATAAAAACTAAATTCCTTCTTTGATAAGGTGACCAATTTATATATTTTTCCCTCCAGATAAAGGAAATAGATGAGATTGGCTGCATAAGGCTTCAGCAGAGCGAGTGAGTCAATGCTACCGAGTGAATATCTAGTTCAGATACAGGAGAGAGTTAATACAAACATGAAGGTGGCTAAAGGAAACAACTGTCTGTATTTGATTATCTTTTGAAAAAACCACCCAACTACCCCCCCCTAAATCAATAACAAAACTAAAGAAAAAGTTGGAGCAAGAGATATTAACAATAAGGAAGATTTCCCGAGGACTGAAGTGACACTTGACTTCGCATTGTTTTCAGTAATGACCTTGGCACCAAAAATATTGGAATTTTCTGATGAAAAGTTGTGGGGTGTTGCCAGTGTATGAGAATTGAGGAAATGCATCTGTAGAACACATGTATTGGGGGCATACTATTAAATACAGGAAAAAAAACCTAGTAAGACCATAGATGTGAAGCTAATAATAAATTCTCAAGAAACAGCAGAAATTCTTATTTTCACAGCATGATTAGCAGGAGAKAAATGCAGTAAGAGCTGAAGATGTTTTGGGGAAGATACTCTGCTAAGAATGAGGTGCAATTAAGGCATTGTACAAAGTCCTTCCTGCTGAGATGTACTTTCAAATATTACATGCAGTTCTGGCTATGTATTCAAGAAACATTGATTTAAGATGGTTGAAATTCAATGAGGGGAAGGCTATGGTAATAAAGTGCCTTTTAAGAAAAGACAGAAATACTTCAAGAACTGCAGCTGAGACTAGCTAGAACAAGCATAGAAAACTCGAAAAAAGCTCTTGCATCTTGTAGTGAGCTCCTGGACCAGTCTTCTTAGCAGGGCAATGGAATGGGGTCAGAATRGGGGACTGTTTTCATGGTAAATGTTTGTTCATCCACTCCTGGAAGGATCATAGGAGCTACCTGCTTGTTGGAGGACTGGATTTCAGAACTGAGCATGGTGACTTAAAGGTTCCTTCTAGTCCTGTATGAAATGTGCTGTGACAGTAACTAAAAAACTGAGCCAAAACCACAAAGTATCTATAATAGCCTGTGACTGTCAGGGACCTGAAAATGTGAACGTGTGTTCCATAATTTTTAGATAGAAAGGTTTACATTCTGTTTAGGTGTGTGTTTCATGATACTAGCTCAGATGTTGAACCAGTTCCTATGGATTTCTGAGAATCCAGGTTTACTAATCAAAGTGTAACCCACCTGGCTTTGATACTTATGTAGTGTTCTTATTCTTGTGGATTAAATGATGTAGAATGTATCCATTTTGAATTTTTTAATAAACATGAAAAAAATGTGTGTTAAAATTATATGTCTTAGAGCATTTTCCAATTTGTGTTAATCCCTTGATGACAGTGAAGAGGCGAAATTTCACTTTTTATAAAGAAAATGGTCTAATGCTATTTTAGCTAGTGGGGGGTTTAAAACTCCCTGTAAGTAACTTGCTTAGATGTCTTCTGTGAGATTCCACCTTCCATTATTAACAGTATTGGGTTATGTAACTGAAAATTGTTATTGTGAAGACTTCTTATGGGCGTATGTATAAGCAAGGGATATTTTTAGCCAAGTTCTTAACAATAAAAAAAAATTGTTTACTTTCTTGACATATTTTATCTAATACAATGCTGGGAGCACTGCTGCATTCTTATCAGTCAGCATATTTAAATTAGTAATTCAATTCTTACACAGAAAATGAATGATAATATATTAAGTTAAAAATTGCACTGGCAATAAAAGAAGTCTTTATCTTTCAGATGGCAGAAATTATATGATCTGCCAAATACAGAAATTTAGGATTTTGTGAAATTATTTTGGACATGATAACAATTTTGGTGACCTTTTTTTGACTTTTGCATATTTTGGTTTTCTTCTGCTGTATTCTTCCTTTTGATTCTTTCCTCTTTCTTTTATTGCTCTGTCTAATCTACAAGTAGCTACAATACACTTAATTTCAGTTTTCATGGGTTTTTTACCTTATCCATTTGTATTCCCCCAGCATACAGATAGCAGACACCTAGGGTGATCGTTGTATACATTACTGTGGAAATTACTGTTCTTGAAACTTGTGACAGGAGAAATTGTCTTCTAATTGAGCTGTGGCAATGAAAGGGAAATCATCCTACAAGAACAGAAAACAAGCAAATAATAAGCAAACATTCCTCCCATGAAAAAAAAATCAATTATTTCACAAGCTGAAAGATTGATTAACTGAATGAGTTTTCTGTCAAGCTGCTGTCTGTGTCTGAAATAAAAACAATTCATAGATCCTTTGTGATTTTACAATGTTTTAGTCGTGCAAAATTCTTATTTGTGTTTGTTCTTTACAGTTGCCCTGTGGTCACCGATGTAAAGAGATTTGCCATTCAGGTAGCTGTCCTCTGAACTGCAGCCAGAAGGTCAAGCTCCGATGTCTCTGTAAGAGACTGAAAAAGGTGAATTTATAAGTTGCAGTTTTTGAAGGATGTGTATTCTTTGTATCCTGGGCTTGTAAAGTTGGATTGTATGGATGTTGCAGATTAGAATAGGGCCAGTTACTGTAGCAGAGCTATAACAATTCACATCAGTTGAAGGTCTGGGCTGCTGTATAATAAGATTCACTGGAGAAACAAAATCTTGTTAATTCTAGAATATGGTAGCTGCCTTAGAATATCTTTGTCTTCATGCACACTTAAATTTTTACAGTTTTGTGGGAAGAATACTTAGATGACCTGGAGTGATTTGAGAATAAAAATGACATTTTTATGATGATATTGGGTAAATTGGAATTAGCACAGATATTGTGAAACCTGAGCTAATGTAATCACTTAAGATTCCCTGCAAATCTAAAAGCAAGTATGGGCATCAGCATGCTTAGCTTCTAACAAATATAAGGACAAAGTAATATAACAACTTTACTATAGCTATACACTACTATGAGGGGAACAACAGAAATTGATATGAAGTCTTTACAAATAATAATGTCTTAATGAAAAAAAACATGATCTATCTTAATAAAATGGTGTTTAAATTTTTTTTTGACCCAGTTAACTTCTASGCATTTCAAGCAGGTTGCAATTCCCCACAGTCTTCAGCTTCTCCAAAATATATCTTGTGCATCCAGAAGTCTTGCGGGTGGGAGGCTCAGCAGGAGAAAAGATGACCTGTACAGAACAAGTGCTTAAAATTGATCAGTCTCTGYTTACAGATAACCACTTTGGGGTTTTTGAACTTTTTTCAATACTGGGACAAGGGGAGAAAGTATGAATGAAAATTAATTTCCCACCCCCGTCCATGACCAGACCTTGAGCCAGTTACAACAATGTGTATGAAGTTACTGAGACTCTGAATGCAGACTCTTTCTGCCAGAGGTTCAGAAGGTTATCGTACTTGACTAAGGCAAACAAATGAGAAAAGAGGAGAAAATTTAAACTGGACTTTTGATTGATTCTTCCTTTCAGCTTAGCTTATTACAAAAAAGGAAAAATACAAGGACTATTTAATACGTAATTACAGGTTCAAATAACATTGTCATTAGCTTTATTTTATGTGTAAAACCAATGTTTTATTAAATAAGGAAGTTTTATTGTTTTCATAAAGATGTTGACATAACTAAAATCTTACATAGGGAACTGATTATAAAAGATAAATTATACTTAACAGGAAGTACAGTGCAGCAAGATGCAAGAAGGCCAAGCTTCACTGGAATGTGATGCATTATGCAAGGAAATGAAGCGGAAAGCATATGAGGTAATGGATCCATTCTATATAGTTTCTTCTCAGAGCTTCAAAAAAAGTATAAGAAAAGAACAGTTATTTTTCAAGGTAATACCTGCAGAAATGCAAATCAAGTGAATGTGTTGTTGAATAGTAGCTATTTTTTCAGACTAATTTATGAATGGTGTTAACTAACTCAATGAAATACTATTTTAAAACAGTATTATGTTATTTATCTTTTTTTCCCTTTAAATTTATTGGAAATGATTCTTTCCTCTTTCACTGAGAACAGGTGATGATCAGTGATGATAAAATAGTCATTAGTGCTGTAAGATTAGAGTCAGGCTGCTTTACAGGGCATTGTTAATCTCTCTTTCCAATGAGGGTTTTGCCATCAGATGCTCTACTTGTCCAATGTGGAGTATAATCATGCTACATGGTATTAGTTATCCTGTACTGGAAGAATTGAGAATTTCCAGCAACTGCAGAATACTTCATAGGCTGCTGTAAACGTGACTTTTCCCTAGCTCATCTGTTTTGTGAAGTAAAGAATTTGCTGTGCTGTTCCACACAGAGACAGGACATGATCTTTGCTCTTATAAACCTTTTATAAAAATATAAAAACATTGATGTATAATTTGCTTGGGTTTTATCAGGTGAGTATTAGATGTGATAAATGTACAATCAAAAAACTCAGTGGATAAAGCTGACAAGTCAGCTTCTGCTCAGATTTTCAGGATTGATTGACAAGTTCTGACAAAATTCTGACCAAATCCTGCAACCTTGCAAGCAGTACAAATGCTAAAACTGCTGGGATATGCCTTCAGAAAATCCCAACCATAACAAACAGTTCCAATAAGAATGTGAAGGTAAGTTTACAGGATATGGAGTCCTTCCCTAAAGCAAGGTGAACTCCCAGTAGACTGCATGAGCTGAGAGCCAGCAGCATGTCCCAGTGTGGTGCAKTGTCAGTGCTGTTTGACTGCAGCACATACTACTACCAATTTCTCATCCCAGTGTTGTAATCCACAGGGAGAAATGGTCTAATGCAGTGAGCAATGCCACAGACATACTATATGGCATAACCTAGCTATGTGTACCTTCCTCACAGAAGAATGCTATTTACTTGTTTGGAGATTTTTATATAAAGTAATGAAGTTTTATTTAAATTCTTTCTAGGCATCTTTTTGTAGCCTCTGTTGACTTATTATGCAAATAACATACTAGAATGGTCTTCTATTATGGGCACTTGATGAAAGTAGTTTATTTATATCTATTACTGTTTAATGTGTCCAGACTGGAAAAAAATTGTTGAAAACTGCAGATATTTACAAAGATAAATTAGTTTCCACATTTGCAAAACAGCCATTAATTTCCAAAACCAAAGTGCATTAATTCTTAATAAAACTTTTCATGCCTGGCCCCTAGTGAGTAAGCACTTCTTACTCACAAGATGCCTAGGAATTGAATGTGTCTTTTACAGTACATTTCATTAAAGAAGTAGTTCTAGAAATGTTTTCCCATGCTGTCATTATAACAGTTAGGGTTCCCTTTATCTCTGTACATTATACCTATGTATCTTATACAAATATGACCACACCAGTGTAAAAAGATGTTTTCCCATTGCTCTTTTCCGCACTTGCATGGCACTTTTTCTTTTGTAGCTGAAGTTGTGCCATTAGATGGCAGTGAAAAATGAGGGGGGCTCGTTGTGTAGTTTTTTGCACACCAGACTTTCAGATTTCAGATAGGCATGGCTGAAAAGGTCCTATACACACATTTCTAAACAGACTCTGCCATTGTATCTAGATTAATGACATTCTCATTAATGCTTTTATTTGATACTAAGTTTAGTAATTGAAAAATCTGCAAATAGGTTGTGCTATTGACCCTGCCCTCAGTGCCTGCTGTTTGAGCCACAGTGTGCTAAAGCATGAGCTATTGTGCTTTCTCCTTAGCCTCTTGAATTTGAAATTATTTGTAACCAATTCTACCTGTGCAAACAGTATTTAATGAACTATTTTCATTGTTAGTGTGCAAATCATCCAGCTTCTAGGATCAAGATTTTTTTTTCATTTCAAGATATTAAAAGGTTTTTACATCTAAGTTTTCTAAGGTAGTGATTCAGTGACTGCAATGCTAAAAGCAAAAAAAAAAAAGTATAAAGGGAAATACATTAACTTCCCCCATATGCTCTTTCTGTTACTACTATTACTTAGTGATTGCTGACTGTGGGAACTTAAGAGGGTGAGGTGGTGTCTTTCTGTCTAATGTTGGATTTATGTCCTATTAGCATGCCTGGTTGTTTTTTAGTTGACATAAACTTTTGGCATCTACAAATGTCCTGTAGCACTGAAATACTAGATTTAGCTAAATACTCGGTGGGAGTAGAATGCTTTCCTCTGTTGTGAGCCAACCTTCTGGTAAATTAATTTTATGCCTTTGCATTATGAAAAATAATTACTGATGTTTTATCCCTACTTGGCATCTGTACACTCTTCAGCATTTGGTGTCCTGTTAGTCACCTGATGAACCCTAGCTATGCATCTCTTCAGATGGAAGCCCCTCCATCCTGTTGTCTTTTGTATATGTCCAGGTTTCATATTTATTTGTTATTGTAGGACCAAAATGGAATGCAGGTTGCTAAGATTCAAGTATGTGGCATGCTTACATATTGACAATGTTTTCTGTACAATTTTCTTCCTAATACTTTCTAGCATTTAATTTGCTTTCTTGAACACTGCAAAATATTTCTACAGCATTATTAATTGTAACTCCCTTTTTATACGAGTTTCTGGTGGTGGAGCTCACATGATGGACAGTTTGCATGCTTTTCCTGAGAACCATTCTATAGAAGTAATTATGACTCTAAGAAAATAGGTTTAGCTGCTGTTGGCAACAGTTGCTTATCACTTTGTATGTCTGCACAGATAAAAGAAGCAGAGGCCAAAGCTGCTCTTGAAGAAGAGAAGCGAAGACAACAGGTATTGACCTTTCTTCTTCTTCCTGATCCACATCCTCCTCACCTTGTTCTTTTTAGTAAATAACATAACTTACATGCAGTTAAAGATGTATAGTTTTTAATGTGATATGCACAGTCATTCCTGTCAGCTGTTACATACTCTGTGCTGTAAATTATTTACAAAAGTTGAGGCCACATTTGCCAAACAATTTTCATGATCTTGTGCAAAATGATAAGCTTGTATTTCTATAACTTTGTATGATGTAATTTATTTTTAAAATACTAAGTATGCTTTATTTTAATCAAACACTTGCTACAGCATAAACACCAGAGAATCCTGAATAGCCTCTGCAAGATTAAATATTGGGTAAAGCTCCCCTTCTGTCTCCCATCATGAAAAAACAAGGACAACTAGAYGAGTTTTGTCCTTCAAGGTCTCCGAGGTGGGAGGGAAGTGTGTATTTTACTGTAATTGCTGTTGGTGGCGAGGGTATGTGGTCGGCATTGTAATCCACAAAGCTGCTCTGCCAGCTGCCTGCAGGTGCTGATACTAATCATATCCAGGCAAATGCTGTAAGCACAGCTGGTGGTGGTGGCTAGGTCAGGTTTGTCATCTGGAGTCTGCACACCTGCCAGCCACTTTGTGCATATGCCTGTGCCTGAGTGAGCATTTGACACCAAATCGTATTCCAAGTCCAGGATGTGCTGACTCCTTTTACTCAATTCACAGCATCTGTGTCTTTAGCTTACACTTGTGTTTCCACCTGCATGCCACACTTTATTTTTGTCAGGGATCTGTGGCTTGCTCCCTGCTTCCAAGGAGGTAAGGGAAGCTTACAGAGCTGATCCACTCGTGCCATCTCCCCAGACTCCCCTGTCTCTCAGTAGGATAGACAGTTTCTCTGTGGGTCACAACTTCTGTTATGCATACTTTGTAAGCTCCCTAGGCAGTCAATGAAAGTGTTACATCTACAATGCTCTGACAGGGCCTGCTTTTGTTTTTTAAAGGGGGGTCTTCTTATTCTGCAAGAAAAGCCAGGGAGTCTATTGTCCAGGGACCAAGCACTGATTTGTGATGTCTTGCAATGTTTATTGCAACATTTGTATCTCATCTGTCTATAGTACTGAGCACGTATTCCCTCATATAACTCAGTTCATGTAATTCTTGTTCTCTAAGCTGGAAATGTTACTTCTGGCACATAGGTCAGGAAGTGTAACTTATGTACAGGTGTCTGAAACACGTTATTGGGCAGAGATCTGTAGATGTTGTTTCTACAAGCTAAGTAATGAAGTGTCCTCAGGGGCGTTGGAACATGTAAAGAACACACTTATAGCTCCAGAGCTTGAAAGTTAAAGTTGCTGATTGTCTTGCACCGAGTGTGTTTTCATGCATTCCAGAAGGCATTCCACCCAATTACTAATAATTTCTGTTCAAAATCACTTAACTTCTGGTCCTTCTAGCAAAGTCTCAGTCACGAGGCTCCTCTGAAACAGTAGAAGATTCAATCCACCAACATAGTGTGCAGTGTCCTTTTGGCTGGATTCTTCAGCGGAGACTGTGTCTGTCAGTAGTCACACCACCACTGCTTTCTACTTGTACTTTCTCTGAAGTSTCACAGTTCCAGCCCAACAGTAGTAACTTTATGCAATGTGTGGCAACTGCTCCTGCATATGTGTTTTGTGATGAATGCAACTTCAGGGCTAGAAAACTTCACCTATACATTATGAAGCCTATTAAAAGGTTAATTAAGAATTGCTAGTTATATAGCTGTCCTGGGTTAGAGACAATTTTAGGAGAAAACACTCAGAAATTAACATTTCCTGTAAAGAAAAGGGTTTGGCARTCCCTTCCCACTGAGACAAAATTAATTTTCTGGATGAAAGTGAAAAAAACCTGTTCATAGAACAAACAAGGGGCCTGCAAGGCATGGGGGGAAAAAAMCCCAAACCTGTTAGATATTGAACCTTCAGAACCTTACCCCCACCCATCCACAGCAGAACAAACAAACCCAAAATGCCAGGGGAAGGGAAAAACTGCCGGCCATGTGCTAGGGAAGAACAAAAGGTGGGGGGGTGACTTTGTCTCAGGAGAGGAAGACAAAAAAAGTATGGGGAGGGGAAAAAACAAACAGATGAGAACCTGGTGAACCTCTGATGTTGGTCTCTTCCCCGCAGCAGCAGAAGCTCGTGGCTTTTAGAGTCCTGTCTTTCATTGGTTTAGCTTTTCCCGAGGTCTGGGGCCAGGTGGAGTCGCTCCTATGGCTCCCACAGGTCGYGATGACCATCTCCCAGGGRTTGTCTGATCTCGGACCAAAAGCCAAGCTGAACAGTCCCAGAAAAGACAACAGAAGGGAAGAATTGCTACTGCAGTTTAGGGAAAACTTGCCTAAGCTGACAAAGCCCAAGCTAGCTAAAAGCAGTAGTGTAACTAACATATGCCTGCTTCACAAGCCTAGCACAAGGGAGGGAGCTTTAAACAAAGCCCATGCAGAGCTGCCCCAGCTACTGTGCCTCCCCCGGACAGACATGCCTTTCTGGGCATAAAGCAGACCATCAGGATTAGAGTATCCTCATAAAACCACCCCAAGTAGCACATTAGGAGACAGTAGGACCAAAACAGTAAAAACAAAAAGGGACAAAATGGATTTTTTAAAAAAAAGGGACAGCAGTATCTAATAAAAAGATTCTAGAACTACACACAAGTATTAAACTCAGCTACTGTGGCATTTTTATGTAACATTGGTTTCTGTCCAATTTGAACTCATAATCTGCCATCTGTTGATGGAAATTGGAGGCCATCACTATCATAGGGTGTTAGGTCACATTAAGAGTATATTTTTGAATATACTCCCATCTGACAAAATTATGTCTTGTACCACCTTCCTCAGTGTCATTAGCACATTTTATAGAGACTGTTCATCTACTAGTCACAGTTTCTTAAACCTATTTTGATTAATACTTCATTAAATGTTTTATATACAAATTAGAGTTCTAGTAAGTCTGTGCATTTATATTTTGGTTTTTGCTATATTTGGTAGCAACTTTTGCTAATGCCATTTACAGATGGAATCACTTGTTTCTTAGTGGARGAGACAGCTTGGCTAGGCTTCTTGTCATGGCCCTAGCAGCCAAACTTTCCCTCTGCTTCTAATTCAGAGGCACCCTGTGAGGCCAGGGTTTTCACAATTGCTAGAGGTGGAAAAAAGATCAGTGCTTTGATTATTTAACAACTCAGRCCAAGCTCTCTGTCCCTCTCCATTGTAAAAGATTCGGTTACATTTTCAAACTGTTTAGAGTTTCAGTACTGAAAGTTAGGGTCTCAAACCTGAAGTGTGAGTACTGAGTTGTATGAAAGATTTTGTTTCCCTTTTTTTTTGTACAAAGAAAAAATTTTAACAGATTTCTTGTAAGTTAAAAAAATCWAGTGTTCCCCTCCTCTATAAATAAAAATGTATCCTACTTAGGGAAAATATACTTTGYGACTTTATAGTCCTTGTTACTTCATTTAGCTACATTTTCCCATGGAAATGCTACTTCTTTCAGGGCAGGAAGACTATAGTGAATAACATGTAAAAGAACAAAATCCAGTGCCTGAGCAACACTGAACTACACATTGTCTGGCATCATACTGTTTTGAGTATACAGTTTAAATAAATACATGTAATTTTACTTTTAATATATTTATATACAAAAAGTTAGGTTCTTACTATACCCTAAGCTTGTTTAGCTTGGAAAGTTAAGTTAGCTTGAAGACTGGGCACAGCCATTACTTCAGAGATCATTAAGGTGTCACCTTGGGAATGTTGACAGTTACACAAAATCTGTAAGTAGCTTTTCAAGGATAGTGATGGCCTCTCTCTTATATTCTGTGCCCAGAAATCTTTTTTTCATTGTGTGTTTTTGGTTCTTTTATTATGTATATATTTTTAGATGGGTTTTTATAAGAGTTCACTAGGACAGCAGTTCAGTAACTATTACTCTGTTTGAGCCATGTGTTTTAATTCAGATTATTGCAACTCATGAAGCTTTCTACTTTTAAAGCCTACAGATCACAAGTGTGTAGTAACTGTAGAAGCCCAAATTTTACTTAGTGGCGGTATACAATGTAATACTGCCATGTTGTCTATAAAACCATAAAACCTCTGTCCTTGCCTCCACATTTTGGATTTTGAGTAACTGATTCATTAAAATACTTTGCTTTTTCTAAGGGAGGATTAGCTAGTTGAAAATACTCTTGTTTCAAACAGACTGTGTGACTTTGTCTGAACTCTTCTCCCATATCTTCAGTGAAGTGCCAACAATTTCTGCCTTTATTAGGTACAAAGGAATAGACATCAAAATAGGTCCCTTTCTCCTGCTAACAGTGGTATCTGGCACAGGAAGGGAAGAGCTGCTTTGTGAAACTCTGACAAATATTTGCTGTCAGTGGAAGAAGACCAGACATCARGCAACCTTGAGTTCCAACGGAAAATGTTATTTACTCTGCTGCTACTCTGTCCATTTCCCAAAACAGTCTTATTCTTGTTTCTTTAATGCACCTACGGTATTGTCTTAGTCCCCCTTCCTGGCAGCACTGCAGTAGTAGTCATGTTGATTTATTTCCTTTCATGGCCAGCCTTTGTCTCTGTTCACTGTCCATGTTTCCTCTGCTTCARCTCAATGTTACTCTTTCTGCCCAGCCTGTCCTGGCTTGCTGTGCTCTGCTACTCCCATCTCTTTTCCCTTTCACTCCATCTGRTTTCTCTGCTCCCTAGTTCCTTGTCCCATGCTCTCTCAAGTAGCTGGCAACTTGACTCAAAAATCCAGGTAATTGTTCAGCCTTTTCTGATTTTAGTCTGTCTCAGGTCTTTAGAGCTTCTTTTCTAATTTTCCTAGCAATTAAATGGCTTCTCATTGGAGCCTCATCCTAGTCTTCACTCTTTATTCTAGGCTGCCTAGTTCCTGTTTTATTTCAGCTGTGTACCCTCAAATGAGTTTTGCCTCTATTCTCTTGATGCCCTTTTAAAAAAAATGTGGAGGGAGATGAGGAACAGGGATCAGAGGATCCTATTGTTTATTCCAGACAGGGCCCTGAAACTTCCATTCTTTGTTGGGTGCCTGACATTCTTACTTTTGCAATTGCTTTGCTCCATTTTTGGGCCTGTGGACATGTGCTTCCTATTGAAGGATATTCTGTACCTCCTACCATCAGATGAGTGGTTGAATGTTAAGTTATAACACTTAAGAAATGGAGTATTTTTGTGYATATCTAAGACTATAGCAATTAATCTAAAATTTAACTGAGCATGCAGATAWAAAGAATTGAGGGCAGTAGGATAGATTTTTAGTTATTTATGTTTTCATTAATTTGTTTTTGGCAGAGTACATCTTTATTATGAGGTCTTTGAAGATTTCAGCCTATAAGTTAGTAAAATAGCTTAAATGCACATGTAAAATAGCACTCCTATAAGTTAGTAAAATAGCTTAAATGCACGTGTTTTTAATAGGAAAAAATAATGCATTTTTAACACATTTCATGGAGATCTTGATCTTATTTCAGCTTAATATATTCAGCCTGAGTTGAAAATTGCATGTAAAACTTGAGCTGGCTGCATTTTTAGCAATGCCTTTTATAGGAAACGAAACAATGGTTTAATACTTGAAAGCAAAGTGCTTTGTACCTGTGGGATGTACCATCTCATCTCTGACATGTGTAACTTCCATTGGCTGATGGTTAATTTTGTTAAATGTTATTTGGGAATGTTATTTAAAATCTTCACATTTCCTTGTTTTTAATTCTGACACAAATGTCAACTRCTTGTGGTTCTTCTTATTTAGGCTGAACTGGAAGCTTTTGAAAACCGATTAAAAGGGCGAAGAAAGAATAAGAGAAGAAAGGATGAGGTAGAAGTTGAACARTCATCATGGCAAAAGTACAAGAACCTCATTATGCTGCCAGTGTTCGGAGTTGCTGTTGTGATGGTTGCATGGCTCATGGTCTACAATGACTGAAAACAACTCAATAGTTAATATACCTCAGGTGGACTTTAGGTAGCTATTATTCCTAGAATGTTAGTCTGTGTGTAACAGAACTTAATATGCATAGATTATGCATGTATACTATTTGCTAAGAAAAGTGCAGAGGAGAGAAGAAATGTCACCTTTTGTGTTAATACATACACAGCACAAAACTGAACTCTGAAAGTAATAGTAGATTCCAGGCTACACTGAAGTGCTGGTTGTTTGACTGAGATCTGTTAACATCTATTAATAATGTTATTTTTCCTTGTCTCCATTTTATAATATTAAGAATAGCTAAGTATAAAATGCTTTGTTGAATACATGTTTCCTGTAAAATCAGCTTAATGGTTTATTGAAGGTTGGTGTTCTTATGCTAGTCTTTATGTTGTATCACACAAAAATTTCTGTGCTTCATGTCGGTTTTAATTATGACAACTAACAGGGAACCTTGGATCACTTAGGCTTAAATATTCTAGAGCTTTGTTCAGAGAAATGAGATGGGAACTGTCTTTCAATTCAGCTATATCACAGACAATACAGTGGCCCCCTGTTACAGACTGTAAACAAACTGYGAACAGGGGTTTGCTTTTTTGTTGTTTCACCCCACTCCTTCCCACCCTTGTTTCCTCAAAATTGAACTAACTTGCAAAGTTCCTTTAGTGGACAGGTAACATAAGTTGAACATGGATGTGAAGTAATTTCAGGGTACAGGGATGCATTCTCACTGTTGCTGCAATTGCCAGCAGCAGAAAGCCAATTTGAAATTACACCTAAGAGTATCGCTTGGCTGTTCATATAGACAAGTGTCAGAGCTGGATATTTGCATAGGTGTTCAAAAATGTAATTGGATAGCATAACAATACARTTATATGTTGTTCTAAGGCTGTCTGGATGGTTCTTGGTAGTCACATTTAAACTATCTAGCTAAATTTTTAAATATTTAAGTATTTTCTTACTGACAGTTTTGATATTTTGCTTTAGTTTATCAGTATTTGTTGGTAGAACTGGAAGATTTTCATCTGGCGTCAGGATTGTCAGAGAAGCTGTAGAGTCTCAGGTGAGAGACTGCAAGTTAAATTTAGGAATGGGAAAATCAGAAAACGGAATTTTTAAACCTCTGCTAGAAAATTTTTGCTGATACTTGAGCCTACAGGTGTCAGGCTCACTACAAAGGTCACTACAAAGGTGATTACAAGCTCCTGAAAAAAATGGGGTGCAAAGACAAAGGGCATTAGTAGTATGCCCTTGTAATTCAGGCATGTAATTTCATCAACAAATCCTGCAAAAGCAGTGGGATCACTTGTGTGAGTTAGTAGAAAAGACTGCAGTCTGCTAGAAAGCTCTTCTGGTTGATTTTGACTTACGTGTAAAGGGACCCAGGTATCCAATTGTAATTCTGATTCAGCAGCAGAAAAATAAAATTGAAAAGCTGCAAAAAGGCAGAAGCATTTGATTGTATAGATTAACATACATAGATTAACAAACAGGGAGAAAAACGGTTTCAATTTGTCACAGAAGTTTGGTGTGTGAGGAGAGTGGTGAGGAAAACTTGACAATGTTTAGCATGGATTGATGCTGTTTCAAAGTAATTTTTTTTAAATTGACATTTCAGAGATGCATATTAGTTATGTGTCAGACCATTAGTATTTAAAGTTGTAGAATTAATTGGAATTATGCTATGCAAAGTTGCATATCCATTGAATTTCCTTAATTTCTAGTATAAGAAATAAACAATTTTTCATATTGTTGCTTTAACTTTTTTTCTATTATATTAATGCCTGGGAGGTAATTCCAGATATAAGTGTATTTTCTTTAACCARCTGAGATGATGCTATTGTGTGAGTGCAAATGCAATATCTTCTCTCACTAAGAGAAAAAAAGAGAGATTTTTGTTCAGATGAAGTAAAATGTGAGGGTTAACCAAAAGTACAAAAAGATAATCTTTCTGACTGAAATATGGAAATCAGCAGGAATGAGAACRTTGTGGAAACAGCTTTTATCTTGCATGACTATAACTAATTTTTCTATTTACTGCTAGCTTTTTCTTTAAAACAAATATGATGGAAAGTTTACCCTTCTACAAAAGAGAGAAGAAATCTCTCTCCAGAGAGTTGTAAAAACTAACTACACTTGTTATATGTTTGAAGGAGTTCTTAGTATTCTTTCTGCATATTTTGTAGTATTTGTGTGAAATACTGGAGAGGAAGACTTCTCATTGATCATCTTCATTATAATTAGAAAGCACTGCAACCTTTAAAAATTCATTCTGTTCATACAAAGGTATGTGTGAGTGGGCATATTCACTTTTTAAAGGATTTGTATCTCTCCTCAACCTTGCATATGCAAGACATACCTATTTTTGAATTTTTTTTCAAAATAGCTCTGTATRTCTTATCCAGCCATGTGAGTCATTTGCACTCTGTTGGTCTGCCTGCTGAACCAGATATTTATTTCTTGGCATAAAAAAAAGTGTGGGGGCTCGAGCAATCTGCAGTTTAATAAATCACTAGGGTTTTATTTGTTTCTTTATAATATTTTTATAGTTAATATTTTGCCTTTCTTTGGTTGGAGCTAGCTGCACATTGTCAACCTTTGAAATACAAGGTACATATAAAATCATCTTTTRTTCAGTATTACTGAAAAAAGGAATTCTAGAAAATAAATACTGAACTGAAGGTAGACAGAGTTTTTTAGCAATTTAGAAGTAATKTTCTGTTACATAATATAATGAGCAAATATTTTGAATTTTAACAGYTTACCCAAAAAAGGCGTATTGATAAGTATGCATTAAAAAATTATATGATCTGACCTGCTGTTGAAGGGAAATTTGTAGCGATAGAAGCCTGATAATGACTTAACATGAAGAATATTTAGTGATGTGTAAAATGAAAAAACTTGGAGTTTCCTGATCCTGGATGCATTCTGATGAGCATATGTCCTTCCACTAAGCCAAGGCTGTTGGTATGTCTGGGATTGGAAATTCCCTGGGCAAGTTTGTTCCCTGGTCAAATCCATTGTGTGTGTTAATTAAATGTAAAAACCAAGTCAGACAATAAATGCATCAAAAACAACTGGAAAAATTRTTTCTTCTCAAGAACTGGGGTAGTGAAGCAGCAAACATCCAGGTAATGATGAGTGACATACTGCAGCCGAAGTTTTAGGTGTGCTTTTTGCTGGCTTCTCCGGCACTGATAGTTCTTACTGCTCAGATTAATGCTGGAATTATGTAATTGTGTTTATTCATGTTACTGCTCTGACAAAATGTGAAAATGCATTGGGGAAGTTGATTAAGATGAAACAAATGGGAATGGACTTGGTTGCTGACTTTTTTGACCTCATAGGGAGGAATATAACTGATTTATTAGACATTTGTGCTGACCTTAACTACTTGAGAAGGAAATGTTACTAAGCAGATAACACCAAAATTTGTTCATAAAAGCATCTATGTTAAATTGTGGCTTTAAAGCAATGAACTATGAGTTTATCATCTCAGCAGTAGTTCAGGCTCCAAAACATATCTGCTCTATGCCAGCTTTCTCTGAGTGATGAGCTTGTGTGTTGTGAGGTTACAGCACAGAAATGCTTGGTCTGAAGTGTGTTCCGGTGCCAGGCATGGGAAGCTTGATGTGTCTGGCAGCTGCTCTCTGGTGCRTTCTTTTGGGGTGGAGCATTCTTGTTGGACAGTTCATCTGCGATCCTGTCCTCACTTTCATTCAGTTATCCCTCTTATGCTTTGATTTMATCCCATTACCAGTTGTTATCTATGGGCATTTAAATTTCTCATTTTTTGTGCTTGATGAATGTGAATTTGTATTCTCGTCTGCCCTCATTCAAGTAAGTTAATCAGTTGCTCTATGGAATTAGGAAACAAACAACTTGTAGTGGTTTTTATTTACTAGGAAGGGAAATGCAAGGTAAACAGTAGGGAAAAAATCAAGTCAAATTAATTTTAAGATAATGAGAGATGCTTCTTTCCACAAGAGGTTAGATATTAATGAGTTATTTGAACACTGCATTWAAATGTCTATATACCACGGTAACAGAAAACAAGTTTGTGGTATGGATAGTGCATGAATATGAACTGTGATACATCAAACTGGGTTGTAAGGTAGGCTTAACAGCAGCTGTGTAGAAATAAGTCATACTCTGAGGGAGCTGTAGCTCAATTCAACCAAGTATTATTTAAGCTAAATAATTGTTGCTCATGTAGTGATTTCCATTAAAAAAAATCAACAAAAGCAGAGTTTGGGCTTTTTCTGTGTGCTGCTGAATCTTCTTGTGAAACTCCAATTTCAGTGGCTCTTCTATTGGAAGAAATTAGTATGAGATTAGGAGTCAAGATTGGCTTGGGCTTTGGAATTCACAGTTCTCCAGCTGAAGAGAAGCCATCCTCAGCCAAGGCCAAGCTGACTTAGCAGTTTGAGCCATGTACTGCACCTCTCATTACAAGTTTTCATGTATTATTAGAATTTTTGATGGGGCTACCTAATCTCTGTAATGAATAATGAATTATGGTTTGATTCCTGTTTTTATCAGCATTACAGCACAAAGTATTTGTTGGTTTACATGAAGCAATATGGTGATTTTGCATATATCGTCTTGCTTCTCTCTCTTTCCATGCTTTTCCTATATTTTGTGTGATTGTTTTAAAACCAACTCCACTGTTTTCCTCCAGATATTGGAAGTTGGTTTCGAGAGATATTTGGTGGTTGGGTAAAAGTGCAGGACTGAATTACCATGAGCAGGAGCATCTTAAGTACATTGGCCCTCTGGAAGCACAGAGAACCCTGTCTGCACCATAAAGTTTGCACATGAAGTAACAGCCTAAATCTAAAGGTATGGAAATGCAGAGATCTGGAAAAAAAAAAAAAAAAAGCTGCAGAAAAAAGGCTAAGAAATGTTTATCTTATTTATTTTTTATATGTAAACATAAATCTGTATTTACATAATAAATTTACAAATATAAACACTGTTATGAGGGGTATCACCATCACTGATTGTCAAGAGTGGTGACAGGGCTGGAAGCAATATTCATGGAGAGGTGGTGGTTCACATTTTCTTTCTAACTCACATTTTGAATGATTGCATTTCAGAAGCACTAAATCATGCACAGTAAAAACTGGAAGCCTTTCTGGTTTACAGGTATCATCCCACAACGCAGCTGCAGTGCCAGTGCCATCTTTCTGTGACTCTTGGAAGGGCCCTGAACTGTTTCTATCCTGGTAGCACCCACTTCTGACCATTTTGTTTCTCTTTGTTTTGCCTTTTGTCCTGTTGATTTTATCATTCTTTGATCGTGCTGGCCAGCTCCGTTGTGTGCAGAGACCAGGGCTTCAGTCAGACTCGACATCTTTGAATGCAGATACGGGGCAAAAGGGACAAATACATCAAATGCAGGTCTCAAAAGCCCCCCATAGGGGTGGGACATTTGCTGTCATTTGCAGCTTCAGGCGGCAGTTGTCTCTTGGCCTGAGAGTTTTGCTAAACGAGATATGCAACACCCAACACATCCCTCCAGGGCCGGGACGGCGCGGGGACAAGGGGTAACGTCGCCGGGTCGCTGCTGTTCTCCCGCGCAGCGCTTCCTCGCAGGGAAGCGACGGGGCACGGCAGGCTTGTCGCCAAGGGGATGGGACCGGAGCCTTCTTGCGGGGAAGGAGCTGGAGAAACCTGTCTTTGGCTCCGACAGAGCTTCCTTCTGCCGGAGCTCCTTCCCCTCTGCTTCTGCAGTGCCAGCGCCGCTTTCAGCTCTCTTTGGAGCCTTAGAGGCTGAGCTGCGGCAGGCAGAGGGAAGCGTTGCAGTCCCTGCAGGCGCGAAGCTGTCCGTCCCTGGGCTGAAAGTAAAGCCTTGCGTGACCGTAAAATAAAGCGCATCCAGAAGGCAGGTGCGTCCTCTGGCGCCCCAAGAAGTCCGCCCGGGAACCGCGGATGAATGAAGGGACCCAGGAGTCTGGCCCACGCTGGCCAACCTCCGCTCCGAACTCTGCGCTTCGACTCGGCGGGCCGAGAGCGACTCCTGGTCCATGCGCTGAGCTGGCTTCGGATCGCGTCAGCCGCAAGTGCGTGTCCGGGCGGCCCGGGGACGGTAAGGTAAGGGGGGCGAGGGGCGAGCTCCGCGGGTTCTTGCCCCTCACATCGTCTCTGACTCAAGCTTGTCTTGCCACCTGAAGCCCTTCGCAGCGTGACGAAGCGTCCCTTAACCGGAGGATGGGGGGGGGGGCGCGGAAAGGCTGTGCCCACTTCATCCGCCCTCCCTGGGGGACGGCTTTAGGGCGAAATTAGCAAGTGGGCTGTCTCTCACCATGTCCCCAAGGGGTAGAGCCTTGTGTACGAAAGGGGTGGGGATGTGGCTATTTCTCGCGGAGGTTTATTATTATTGGGTGGAAGAGCGGGGAGGGGGAGTCTGCAGAGCGGACAAAATGCGTAGCTCCCCCCTGCTCCCCGCATGTGTCTGTGCGGAAGGCGGGGGTACGTGGCTCGTCAGAGACCGAGGTRGAGAAGGGTGAGGGAAAAAGTGGAGCGGGGTCAGCAGCAGCCAGAGCATGCTCTCCACGCAACAGTTCCCTGCCCTGCCTRCGGAAGAGGAGCGCTACCGGCAGGTCCTCTCCGCCAGCCGGGTAAGGAGAACCTCAGGGCGCTCCCCTCCGCGCGGGGGCCGCCTGGGGACAGAGGGCCGGGGGATTGGGAGGGCGGCTGGTTCTGCCGCTCGGCGACCCCCGGGCTGCGGGCTGGGGCAGCCCACTCAGGGGGCACCCCCGGCCGCCGCCGGCCCGCCGGGCAATTCCCGTGCGCGGCGCGCAGCCTGCGCTGCCGACAGGGGGCTGAGCGGCAGGTTGTTCGGGCAAGCGGAGAACGGGCGATCTCTCTCCGAGCCCGCCGAGCTGTTGTAGCGAGAGCGGACCCGTGGCTCACAAGCAGGGACGGGGCYGTGTCCCCGGGAGGAGCGATCTGGGGGGCGGCCGGGGACAAGTGACCGCCCGCGCCCAACCTGCCGCGGTGGCGCCGTCCCGCAGCGCTCCGGTATCGAAACTCGCGGGRACGTGTTGGGGACGGCCGCGTTCAGAGATGCAGGTGAGGCGCAGCCAACAAGCGCTTCTTGTTGGCGTCTCACGGAGAGTAGAGYGGCGCCCTGGCCCCGGTTTTCTCACCAAGTCAGCGCGGAGGATCAGTGGGGCTGCTGCGCCCGGTAAAGACACTGGAAGGAGCGGGCAGAAGTTGACCGAACCCGACAACAGGTCCGGCCAGGATTTGCAGGAGCAAAGTTTGGGCTTAACCTCCGGCAGGGCTGTCACGGCAGCTCCATCGGCGGCCGGGCTCCCGGGGAGCCGATGCACCATGAGCCCGACGCGGTAGTTGCCCCTCGGCCGGGAGCTGGCTTTATTCTTGCATCGGTGCACCCAAGGGTCGGATGGAGGGACGCCCAGTCCCCTCCCACGGCTGTCCGGTGGTCGCCACCAGCCACGGGAGGAGGTTGGTGCAGAGTCGCAGAGARGGCAGCTAACCCTTCCAGGGAGGGTCAGCATGCCTGTGTGTCTGCGAGTGTCGGAAGGGAATAGCGCGGGTGTGGACGGTCTCCCAGCACACATCTGGGAGGAGGGACGAGGAGATCTGCCCTTATGGGAGAGGCTGCATAAGAGGGSGCGAGAGGGAACTTGCCGAAGGTGGCTGCCCTCGCTAGTGCCAACTTGCAGGGTCAGTCCTCCTAGCCTGCCCTTCTCTCCGCTAGCCGGGGCGCAGGTTCGTCCCCAGTGTCCCCGCTACCTGTCAGAGGAGCAGGCGCGGCTGGGGCCGCAGCTACACAGCGGGGCCGGTATGGAGSCCACGGCGAGCGAGCGGGAGTGTCCGCAGGGAAGGACCGATTGCCTTCTGCCTCTCCGGCGCCAGAGAGAGCGTCCAGGGCCGCGCATCAGTGATGAGCCCGATGTGTGGCACTTGCGAAGAGGGCGACGAAGATTCTCGCGCTGTAATACCCATCGTACGCGACCGAAACGGCACAGCAGCGGGTTTCACAAGTTTAGAAACACGGCAGTATAGTTTAGTAGTATTGTTGCTCCCCTTGATTTAAAATGCAGAATCCTTGGATGCATTTCATTGCAGGTGATTCATTAATTGACTTAAATTACTAGCAGTCTGGTAGAGATGGTGAAATTCGGAAGTGAAATCAAGTATCTGGGGCTTTTAATGCATTTACAGGATCTCTTGGGAAGTTTTGGCTTTCAGCAGTGAGAATATGGTACTGGATTTTTCCATATGGCTATGTATACCCTTCCTGTGTTCCTAAAAGATGGACCGGTCAGCAGGACCAAATTCTTTAGTTTGTTTTTGTAATGGATGCCCTAGTTGGAGATCTCTGTAACAAGCTTCTTGGTTACTGTGGCACAGAGAAAAATTAGTGTGTCACTGACATAATCCAAGCAACTAAAAAGCAGTAATACTAGGAATTAGAGAACTGCTCTGCTTCTGTCTACATAAAAGCTGATAGCATCTCCAAAGCATCTTGGACATCAAAGTTCTGTAGAAAGATGGGGGCTCTTCCMGGTGAACAAGGGAATCCTAAACAGTGTTCAAACCTCCTTTAGAAATTACATTCTCATTACTTTTTTCATTCCTCCAAAGGCCATTTGTGGAGTACACCAACAGGTGGACAGGTCCTTCTGCCTGTGGAGGAGCCTGGCCATTCAACCCCACATCTAATCCTTACTCAGCATGCATTTTTAAGGAAGTCACCAGCACTCATTTTCCTGAGAGGGTTCTCATGGTGGTGAGCCAGGCAGTACAGCACACTTTCCTATATCAGAGGAGTCTGCGTGTACTGTTAGTATCTCATGGGGCCATCAGGACAAAATACTGGTTTTCCTGAGTCTTTTGGAGTTGGAGCTATAAAATACTGAAGAAAACATTCACTTCCACAAGTCTTAGCTGGCACTCGRCTCTATTTAAGTCTACTCGACTTAAGTAGATAACTTAAGTGTCTGGTGAATTAAAAATATTGTATGTTGATGGTTTGAAATGTGTCATGATTGGAGGTGCTCTATAAAACGTGCACAGGGCGATTTAATATTTCCGTATCATTGTTTGGCTGTTGATTAGGTATTAGATGATATCTGCAGATGCAAGTGAAAGCCAGGGCTGTTAACATTGCCAGTAATTATTTTAAAATGTGGGTTTACTTGAATGTAGGAGTTGTTTTTTTTTTTTTTTTCCCTTTTCCTGCTAAGCTGATATACATATTTAGGTTTTAGCACTCAGCTCCCTTGAGGAACATTACTGTCCTGCCATTATGCTAAGTCCATGTATTGCCAGACACATAATTTCTTGTCATTACCCACATAGCCAGAAAAGAAGAGCATGTGCAGGGGCTGAGATGGATAAGCACCTAGACAGAAATCTCATTTGTCAGAAGGAGAGTGGTCCTTTCAAGAGAAGGTGGAACAGGGAGGGGATGTAGGGATGATTATATCCAGCCAAGTCCAGCAGCTCCTATTCAGTTACTCTGACGAGAAATGCTGAAACATAAAACAAACCCTTTGTACACAAGCAGGAAGACAGCTCTTCAGTCAGTGTGATTAAGRCTGTTTGAGCTCTTTGAGTCTTTGCGATGCTGAAGTCCAGCAGATTCAGGTCATCCCAATCCAGGAGGCAAAATATAAGTGCTACTGGCATTTTCTTAAGAGGCAGGAGCAGCGGCTTTGGCCCCACCTGGACCAGGAGGCCCTGGGTAGCYGGTCATCTGCTTTCAGCCTGAGTAGCACATGCTGTTAGGTTACACACAACGACATTATCTCCTGGTGTTGTCAGGTTTTAAAAGACAGTGGCTGTGGCTACATAGTGTGGGAAGAGTCTGAAATCCTGTCAGCGTGTCAGGTATCTTCAGCAAGTGCTTACAAGGCCAGATGAATGTCTTGTTTCTGAATGCCAGCCAGGGTTTGGCAGGGGCGGATATCAGGCCACTTGCAACAGGGCAGTTTTAGACTTGCACATRCAGCTTAGGCCCTTCCAAGTGTGTCTGCCAGACATCTCCTGATTTTGAAATGCCTTCAGGATGAAGCAGCTAAGTAAGCAGAAGGGCTGGAGGGAGGCAGTCTGAATACAGTTTGAAATACTGATGCTTCTAGTATGTCCCAGTTTCTTTCCCTACCAAAAAGAAATAAGTGGCAGGCTGGGTACACGCAGATCTCCAGTAGAAAGAAGGGTGGAGGATAACCCACTGTGAAGTGATGGATTGTCATAGTAGGACAAAAAAAAAGCTTAAATCCTCCTTGTAAAGGTCYTCAGAACACTCAGAACAGTGACTGAAGACAGTATCCAGATAGCTCCCGCCTGACTACTCTCATTGCCTCTGAATTTTGAATTCTTTTGGCCTCCCTAGTCGGTTGTTTTCTTGTTAGAGTGTGCGGTTTCACCTGGTACTGYCCTGAGCCTCAGTCTGGGTGCCAGGGTGCAGGAACCCCCTCTTCGCAGGAACGTGGGGTGCGCCCGCACTCCCCGAGGGGCTGCCCGAGTTAAAGCGCGGGGAAAGAGGGAAGGAAGAGCGCCTGGGCTGTGCCCCTTTGGCCCTCGTAGCAGCAAACCCSGAGTCCAGCGGGCTGTTGTTGTGTCCAGCGGGCTGTCCCCTCTCCCTGCCGTGGGCTGGGGCTCCCCCGCCACGGCCGCCTTGCCCGGCTGTGCTGAGGGGCGAAGCGGGGGCTGTTCCTGGGTGCCTCTCCCAGCCCGCAGCCCCGCGGCAGAAGAACACGATGCCGATCGCATCCTTTCCCTCAGTCCCCCGCCCTCTATAAATAACTCTGGCTGAGCTGACCTGTCAGATTCCCCCGGCAGAGCGGATCCCCTGACCCGGGCCGCCTGCGATGGAAAGTCTGAATGCAAAACATACCGTAGTAAAAATAGAGCGGCCGGGGAGCCCCGCCGGCAGGTCCCGGCGGCTCYCGGTGCCGCACCGGACCCGGTCTCGCCGTCCCCCGGGTGCTCCCGGCTCCCGTCACACTGAGAGCTCCCCCCGTTCCTAAATCCATGAACGCTTTAATGCCCCGATGGTTTTCTCGCTGTCAGATGGAAGTGTAATTCATTTCTGCCGTGGAACAGACAGTTCC